ACCAATTACAAGCATATACAACATCAATAAGATAATATCTCATCACAACGTCCAACAATTGATCATATGAAAGTCAACAAAATTTTACTCCAATTACTTGTTTCTCCTCTCCTATTTAATTTTTTAAAATTATTTTTGACTAACTTCATCCGATCATGAATTCTCTTTTTCCATTATAATCTTACCACACATCCATCTCAAAGTTTGCACTTTATGAAGACTTATTTTATGACCTGCTGTTTCTTGGTTGCTTATCATATTATGGATATACATGCAAGTCTATTTCTCGTGCAAAACCCCCTGTGATTCTAAGACCCCCGCCCCCCAAAAAAAAAAAAAACCAAACACGAAAAACAACAAATGAGAACGATAAATAAAAAAATGGGGATGATAAATCGAATAAGCTTCGTATCAAAAAGTATAAAATCCCACAAAGCAACGTAAAAAAAAAAAAAAAAAAAAAAAATGTAAGGACTGAGTGCCATTAAAACCAAACCTGTGAAGGGCTTTCTTGGAGGAAGAAGACACCACAGAGGAAGAGAGGGAACATGATTGAGATAGGCAGACACAAGAAGGGAAAGAAGACTTAAAGGGGTTGCCTGGGGTGGAAACCCCCATTGCCATGGACTCTACAACTCTCCTAATATTACTGATTCTACAATAATAAACCATTTTAATTGATAAACTTTTGATGGGACTGTTGTTTATAGTTTGTCTGAGAGCGGTCGTCCTGCGTAGGGCGCAGAGCCGAAGGAGGAACCCATGAAAGAGAGAGAGAGAGAATGAGAGGAGAGAGAAAGATGGGGAGGGTTGGAAGTCTGAAGTCAAGGTTAAACCCTTGCTCTGGAAAAACCCCAACCCCAATATTGCGGACGAAGGCAAATATTTGTCTCTCCGTACCCTAGTTATTTTAGAGAGACAAAAATGTCCCCATCTAGAGTAGAGTACATATCACATGTGGTAGTCCGCTGATGCAGCAGATTCTTCTAACCATCCACCAATTCTAGGGTGGCCAATTCGTGGGTAGTGTTTGCCACGTCTTGCCCTGTGTCGATTTAAAGATATTTTACTAAATAAGTAAATTTAAATATAATTTCTTTAATAATCATGTTTAGAATCCTCAATACTAATTTAACTCATTTATTAAACAGTGTTTATTAAAACGAGACATTTAATATTTAATTAAATAGTAAATAGTAAAAAAAAAAATTGTCATAATTAATTCAAAAAAAAAAAAAATCATAAGGCATAGACAAGGCTTATGTCGAAATGATTTAACTATCTATAGTAATTGAGTTTAAACAGGTAACATATTACATATATCATTTTTACGATTATAACATGTTGAGTTAAATGAGTCATAAACAGGTTACACGAGTTGAACCCCTCAACCCTAACCCGACACAGTTAAGTAAACGGATTAATCATGTCGACCATTTTATGACTCAAACCCGTTTATACCAAATCCAAGCCCTTTTAAGTCGTGTTATATTGTCGTGTCGTGTTGTAATTTGCCAACCCTAATCAATTCTTTGTGCCCTATGCTTGCGCGCGCTCTCTCTGTCTCTGTATAATTTTATTTATTTATTTCATTTAAAGAAGATGAAAATAGGCAAAATAATAATAATAATAATAATAAGACCACTATTTAAATCTTGTTTTGGTAAAAATAAATGAGTTTGCGTTTCTTGAATACATTGTGTAAATCGTACTCTTCTCATTCCGCATTTTGATTTAAATATCATTGTTCTTTTACTAATTTATTATAGGTTTAGACTTTTTAACTTATTTAATTATTTTTCGTTACCAAATTTCATTTACTCAAGTTTAGATTATGTTAGGTGTTAGGCATCTCTAGTGATCCACAAAAATGGTTTATCACATTTTCATTGCATCAATTCCATAAATTCAAAAAAATAATAATAATATACAAATTTTAAATTTGAAAGAGTTAGAAACTAATAATTTAAATGAAAAGAAGCTCAAAAACATGAAAATGTTTTATGTTTAATGCTCCCCACACGTACATTCATGTAATTATCGATTTAATATGTAAAATAGAACATTATGGGAAAGAACATAGGTGAAACGTTAGTTAAAATTGGTGACATGACACTGTGCCTTTCGGTAAGGATACGATAAGGAAAAAAAAAAAAAAATTGTGTAGAATATTCATTCTTTACCAATTCTACATTTTATATGTTGCTTTCACATTATCCAGAATGAAATAATTACTTGTTAATTCTATCTTATTTTTGAAATTATCATAAAAGTCACTTTCAATTTTAATTAGACCCTAATAATCAAATGCTTAAAAGAGGTTGTAAATTTAATGAGTTACAATTTTGTAGTTTGTGTTGATGGTCTCAATCACCGGAAAACTCGCAATAAAAAAGGTAAGCTAGAGATTTGATGGACTAATGGATAGAGATCCAATTAAATTGACCTTACAAATAAAGAAATTATTACGTGGCCCAAAACTATATGACCTGCAATCCTACCCAACATAAAAGCAAAAAACACTGCCAAACATAGAGGCCGAAGGACTCATAAAGTAGAACATGGTATTGAATGGTGGCCTCTAACATGTTAGTACAAGTAATTGCAAAACCATTTTTTGAGATTCTGGGGAAAAACTTCAGAAAACAAGGGGACACTAGCCAATCCCAGCTGCATAATTGTTTAGGAACGGTTTTCTTAGGATGATAGCAGTTGATCTTTTTCCTGAAGAAAATAGTTTGGCAATCAGAAATCTTGAACAAGAAACTCCACTGACATGATTTTACACAAACACAGTAAGTGCCCTAGAGCCTCTTTGTTTTGAGATGATAAGAAACCAACTCATTTTATTACCCAACTCACACCCCACCACCACCTGAGCCAACACCTTTACTGGTGCTGTAGCGTTTTTCAACGCTTTACTGGTGCCGTAGCTTTTTTCAACTCATTTAACAGAGTTTATAGGGAATCCCCTTTAGTAACTTGTACTTATTTTAATCATTAGAGACTGCTAAATGAACTCGAGCTTTTGTGACAATTTCACCATTTAACAAGAATAAAAATCAGTAAAGATGGCTTATTTGCTCAATTTCAAATTGATAGAAATTAGATAATACATAAAATACAGAACACCTCAATTCGATTGGTATCTAAATTGTTGCAACAATTCAAATATATTCTACTTGAATGTAGTTATGCCTCAATTTCAAATTTCCCAAAGCTTCTTGAGATATAAATCTCACTCCTCTACTTTTAAAATGCAAAGGTTCTGGGAGCAAAGGAGAGGGCAGGCAGAAGCGAAAAACACACTGAGATAATTATATTTCAGGCCAACCATATAAGAAGAAGCATTGCAAATGATATCACTTAGAGAAACGCGAAAAGATACTTACATGGCAGCCTTGCGTCCAAGCTTCACAAAATTCTATACGAGACAAGTAATTATCAGTTGCTTTTCAAAAGGTATAGGAATAATGTAGCATTTCTCTGTTTAGGAGACCCTACTTCAACAAAGTTCCCAACCAACCAAAGTTCTATTAAGGTGCCAACGTAAGCAAAATAATGGAATTTTTAACAAAAGCAACGCAGTTACTGCAGAACACTTTATTCAAAAAGAAACTCAGTAATGGTGATCAGTCAATTAGTAACATGCATTATACGTCATGGGGATGTTTCCTAGACAAGTTGAGACACAAGAAGGGAAAAATAAAAAACACAAACACAACGACAATATATTTCATTCAGAGATCCATTAGCAAATGCGTGTTTAAGGAGCAGAGAAACAAAATCATAAAAACAATATAAAATTCATTGTTATCAGAAAGTTCTTAACAGACATTTCCACCATTTGAAAATAGAAAATCATTAATTTATATATATATATGTATATATATATTACTGATGCTCGAATCCCTGATCTCTCTTTGAGAAGTAGGGGCTTGGTACAGTTAGACCACTGGCCTGTTGGTTAAAAAAAAAAAAAATCATCAATTTAGATCAGTTCATTGATTTTGTAATTTGCAAAGAGTTCATCAGAGGGATGCAAGAAAATAAATCAGAGAGAGAACATGAAGGAAACTCGCCCCTTGAGAACTACTTCCATTAGGAAATCCATAAGCACAACCTGCAACTACCATTCAGGAACCCAGAGATGCTCTCTGGGATATTATCAATATAGAAGTACGCAAGAAAAAAGGAGAAAGCAGAAATATCCCATAATTTAATAACAAAACGGTATCAGGAGCAGTATATATCCTATATATATTTAGCTTAAGAATTGAAAATGAAGAAGCAAATGTCGCAATCCAATGCTACTTTGAAGTTATACCAGTACTCATCAGCTACATTCCTACCTCAACAAAGACTGCTCAATAGAAATACCAGCTTAAGCAAGCACGCTTCCCTCATAGAGACCAATGTCACATGCAAGATGCAGATTCTCATAGCGGTGATACATGCCCCAAAGCTGAGTACTCATTTTGGGGTATTATCGCACCACTTTTATGAATTAAAAGTTAAAATGTCCATGAACATGGTGTTATATAATGGGATACACTGAAGCTGCAGGTCGATTAGAGTGCCACGCCTGCACGACTATATATAAACAAAAACACAGTTATATGAGTCTAAATTTAAATGTTAACAGTAAAGAACGAGTTTATCACGATTTAAGCCTTCTCCAGTTTTTATAACTTAAATATTTACTATGTTGCTAATGAAATCATTGATGTCAAGGGTACGTGAGCACAAGTAACTTAACACAAAATTTCCGCAGAAAATACAGATGCATAGTTTTACAAAGATTTAAATCTCTAAAACATAAATATTCAGTATATTGTTAACAAACTCATCGATGCCTAGAGTGCATAGGTAGAAGTATTTAACTGTGAATTTCAGCAGAAAATACAGAATTTCAAATTTCAGTTCCCATATTGGTCAAACAAAATATGCAAAAATGAACAGAAATGTTAGAGAACCATTACATAAGATCATATAAACAACTAGTATCTCTCCACCCCCAAAAGTTCCTCTAGCTTCTGAAGAATCTGAACCCTTTCTTCTAGATCTGGAGGACGTTTCTGAACTCTACTTGTTGAAATCCTCACGCAGCCATCAATATTTATAGGATTATCAGAGGACTCTCCAGCCTTCTTAAATTTTTTTCCCTCCCCTTCTTTAGCAACATCTTTAACTGATTCTCTGCAGCTTTTGTTCTGTTCCATCCTTTTGCTTAGTACTACAAAGTCTAATGGATCATTTGCAGAATCAGAGGCCACTCTTTTCACATCTCTATCAACCCCTTTGGGTATATTCGCAGAATCATCAGCCTTTCTCTCCACTTTTCTAGCAACCCCTAGGAGTCCATTCGCAGACTGATCTGCCTTTCTTTTCACATCTGTAGCAACCCCTTTGGGTCCATTCATGGAATCATCATCCTTTCTCTCCAATTTTTTGGCAACCTTAACCAATCCGATGGTTGCTTTCCCTTGTGGATTCTCTTCTGTTGTGCTGAGGAATTTTCTTTTTCTCCTATTCTCATTGACAACTCTAGGAAATAGTTTACATGAATTGGCTTTTCTTGCCAAACGATCCGCTAGCAAAATATTATCATCATCACTTGAATCCTGATATATATTACTGGAAGGAGTAACTGAGGCATGACTCTCTTCAACATTGGATTTTGAAGAAACCCGAAATAATTCCTCAGGACTTTTCTGTGTCCTTGATGAAACAGCAGCATGGCTGTCATCCTTACAATTTTTTGCCCCAACTGATGGAGATGTTTTTGATTTCGTAGTTATTCTACTAGCAGCAGTCTTAAGGCTTCCCTTATCACCAGATTTTCCTGAAAATCTTGATATGGTATTGCACCGTTTCAGACTTTTTGATTCAACTGAGGCACCTAAATCCTTTTTCTTCATTTTTGTTTGAGCTGACAGTAAAGATTTAGACTTCATAATTCTTTTCTGTGCTATGACACCATGAACTGCATCTTTGCGAGCACACATAGAATCCTTCCACCAATTGAAGTACCTAACTGAAACACCAGGCTCGAAGTTTCTTGGTGGAACAAAGAAAACATTTTCCCTACTTGAAGAAGTGAAAACAGAACTAGAACCATCACAAGGAAGATCCTGATCCATTCCAAACTGCATCCCCACTCGGTGTGGCATATACTTCTCTTTACAACCTATTCCAACAAGCTCAGAAACCTGTAAGCATCTAAAAAAAGATTGCAATTCCTCATCCAAACTCAATCCATTAAACACCAACTGTTTAGTTTCTTTGTAAAATGAAGGATTACGCCAATTCTTCAAATCAGCAGCATAAGGCCTCCACCTAAAATTTTCCGGCAGCCTAAGAGCTGACCTCACAAGGGGTAAATTGATTTTAGAACTCAGTTTGTGCCATTGAGCAGCTCTAGGCTCGCCGGGTTTGAGTGGATTAGGGGGATTCGGTCCCACAAGTGGGAACCTTTCAAATGCCCAAAGCTGCAACAATGGTAAAGGTCCTGAAACTATAATGGACTCAGCAGAGACCATAGCTTTTTCTTTCAACATTGTCAAGTTTTGATATAGACTTGCAAGAACAGCAGGGGCTAAAGCAAGTTGTACACCTTGGGACAACTGGGCTGCAATTGGGAACACATGTTTTCCAATGGTTTCTTCAGGAAGAGAAGGAAACACATACCTTGACAACCAAAGTGACAAGAATGCAACATGCTCAAACTCATACTCAGTCTCTACCTCCATAAATTTGCTGAGCCACCCACCATGAGTGGCCTTTTTAGCTTTACTTCTACAAAGTTCAATTCGATGTTTGTTCATGGCTTCTTCGATTTTCACTAGTCCCCCAGAAAGAGGACTATTCACGGGCTTACCGAGAACTGGGTACCCACCGATGATCATCACATCTTCTAGGGTAATCGTTGCTTCACCCCATGGAAACACAAATGTGTTTGTTTTAGAACACCAAAATTCCGATAACCCGAGTAGTAAATCCTGATTGCAACGCATTTCATAGATTGAAGCCATGATAGCATCACATATACCGGTTTGATTCCAAATGGCACCGTGTTTTGGAGCCAAACGGTCGACCCATTCTTTCCATTTCTTCTGGGGTTGTTTCCAACCCTTGAAGAGAACCTGTGACGGCCATTGTTGAAGATCGTGAGAGAAAATTTCAGACAGCAATGGAGTATGAGGAATACCAACAGCTTGACGGACATGTCTGGTACATGGTCTGAGAAATCTTGCGATTCTTACTCTGGATTTCCCATCTTTCACAGAAACCATTTCATCATCTCTTGCTTCGTATATAGAATTTGCTTTTTGTTTCTCTTGTGCCATGCTTGAAATTAAGAAGAATAAAAGAAGAAAATGAACAGAACGAGAGAGAGTGTGTGTGTGTTTTTGGGGATTGGAACCGCCAAGAGTGAAGTTGTAAGCAGTAGTAGTATAAAATTGTGGGAAGATGAAGGGCACGGCTAGTTAGTATATTGTCATATATCGCATGCATTAATCTTATATACTATAGGTTTTAGGTGGTGTAGCAGATTAGATTTTGAAATAATGATGTTGCACCTGGATTTAATGTACCGCACATGTTTAGAATATAAAAAATTAGATAAATAGACTTTGTGTTAGTGCAATTAAATCACGAACTTAACATTTATACAACACCGTTAAATTCACAGTGTAACATTATTAATTGGAATGCTGATAACAACAAAAATATAATGTTTTTAATTTTTTATTATTATTATTATTTTTAAGAGCACGTGTATGCCATATAATACAATACATGTACCATTCAAATGATCTCAATAACTTATTTCTAGGATCCTTGTCAACGCAGCTATGTCCAATAACAAAAATATAATGTTAGTTTCTATATTTTAATATATATATATATTGCACAAATATTGCCGAAATATACATGAATGTTACATATACTCTAGGTTTTTGGTGTTGTAGCACATTAGATTTTGAAATAATGATGTTGCACTTAGAACGAATTGCACAAGTCTAGAATATAAAAAATTAGCTAGAGATACTTTGTTATGCAATTAAATCACGAACTTACATTTATACAACACAATCACATTTACAAGGTAACATCATTAATTCGAGGGTGTGATAACAACAAAAATATAATGTTAGTTTCTTTATTTTAATATATATATATATATATATATTTTGCAAGGACGTTATCGAAATCTACATGAATTTTACATGAGTATTGCATATACGAAATAGTATGTTGCATATACGAATTTTACATGAATGTCATGCTATTAATATTTCATTTTAAAATAAAAAGAGATAAATTATACTATTATACTGCCAGAATTGAGATTGAGTTGGTTGAGTTAAATGATTTTTGGATTAATGGAAAAGTACGTCGACAAAGAAAAAGGCGACATTAATTATAATTTATTAATAAAATAAGATGGATGCAAACCCATGTTCTTAAATAAATAAATAAAAATGAAAATGCCATCATACCTTCATAATTAAGGCGCCAGCTGCATCACCGCGCAGTCTTTGGGCGCTAGGTTAGCCCAGGCGAGTCACTTTGGCGCCTCGAGTTTTTGTTTAAAGCCTTTTGTTCATATCTTTTTTATTTATAACAATTACTTGATTTTTTTTGGAATTTTTTTTTTTTTTTTTTTTTAAAGTTCAAAATTTGCTCAGACATGTGTATATTTGTTTATTTTTTTCCTTCTCATTATTCTTTTGTCTTGATCGCCATTTATCCTGACTCTAGGCATGGAAACTAAATCATGTATCTTACGCAGAATTGCACTAGGATCAATGTAGCAGAATTGTCTCTAGGTATACAAATATATATATATATATTTATGTGTGTATATATGTTAATTTTATACATGATAAAATGCAAAAAACCCGCCAGAACTATGGAGTTTTGCAACTAACCCCCCTGAACTACAACAAAGCTCCCTCAACTTTGAATTTGTTGCAATTTACCCACTCAGGTCACCGGGAAAAAAAAAAAAAAGACAAAGCTGCCCTTCTAATAAAACGACGCAGTTTGGCAAACAATACCAAACCAACTGCAGATCTTCTTCCTATTTGCAATTTTGCAGACCCAAAAACACTCTCTCTCTACTTATATATGCCCAGACTCTCTCTCTACTCATATATGCCCAGCCGTGTGCTACTACCCAAATTCATCATCTCACCAACAACAACCTTCGTCATTAAATCAAACCTTGAAACCCCTCCACGTCATCTCTCATTCCCCTCTCTTTCCCCAGATTACAGACACTGATGTTGAGCTTGGTTTTGGAGTCAATGAAATCGGCCATGGACTCGGCCAATCGAGAGAAGCCTCCAGCGTCCAATCTGAAGCAAATCATTCTTGAGGTTGCGGGAACGGTTTAGAGAGGTGATGAACTGATTGAGGAGTTGGATGTTGAGGTAGATGATCCTGGATTCAGATCGGGATTGGAGGTTGAGAAGGTTGGTGACTCGGTCCGAGTCCAACTCGGAAATGATGGTGTTGAAGAGAGTGATAAGAGTTATGAGGAGGAAGATGAGATGGGTGTAAGACAATTGCAGATATGTGAGAGTGCAAAGAGAGAAACTCGGTTATTATTGCCCCGGCCGGATCCGGCCATTCAAAAATCCAGCACTGGGTCAGTCGAGACTCACCGGAACTAGATGAACGGAGCTCGTTGCTAGGTCAGTCCAAGCTCACGTCGGATTTCATGTAAGTCAAAGCCCAAAGCTTTGGCCGGTTTTCATCGACGTCGAAGCTCAAAGCTCGCCGGAACAACACATTAATTTGGGTCCTTGAAATTTCGCTGAAGTCGTTTAAACTCTTATCAATCTGGTTGTTGATGCTTAAGCTTCTCACCTATCTACTAACAATCTTCCTCCTATCCAAGAAATTTATCCATCTCTCTAATCCCCTTCCCCTTTCTCTCTTTCTATCTTTCTTTTTTCTTTTTCTTTTTCCTCCCAAATTCATCTCAATTCTGGGGCTAACAAAAAAATTAAGAAAGAATTATCTAAATTAGACGGGTATGGGATACTGATTAAGAAAAATCAGACCTTCTATATGTATGGAAACTGATTAAGAAAGAATTAGATTCCAATTTGAAATATGGGATATTGATTTGTTCTTGGTCTAATTTAAGAGCCTCGGTCATCTCTCCCCATTGACGAAACCCTTACCAAGATGCACAGCTGATTGGCATGAAAGCACGATGGCTGATTGAAAACGAAGACAAACCTTAGCAGTTACAGAGTTGTCAATTTGGGAAAATTTTGATAAAGGGCATGTTTGTGTTGGTGTTCCATTTTAAGAAATTAGAAACTAAGGGCATTATTGTTCTTTCATGCTTCTATGGGCAATATGGTCATTTAAATTTAACAAACCAATTTTAACAGTCATATATCACAGGACATTGGATAGATGGGGTCATCTGCAACAATTTTGCATAGTTCAGGGGTTTCTGGCATTTTTGAAAGTTAAGGAGGTTAGTTGCAGGTTTCTCTATAGTCCAAGGGGTTTTTTTTGCATTTTACCCTTTTATATAAATGTATATGCCTTTATAAGTACATGTGCTCGTGTGTGTGTGTGTGTGTGTGTGTGTGTGTGTTAGGGGGGGGGGGGGGGGTTAAATGCAAAAAAAAAAAAAAAAACCTCTAGTAATATAGGTTTTGTGCATAAATAGTCCATTCTTTTTTTAAAATGTGCATTTCAATTTATGAAATTTAAAAAATGTGCAAATAAGCCCATCTGACTACTTTTAGACAAAAAATAAATATAAAAACCCCATTTTACCCTTTTTTATTCCTATTTTACCCGTAACCCCTTACCCCATACCCTATTTGTGATACCCCTCGACTCCGAGACATGGGTTGATCAGGCCCAAACCCAAACCCGAGGGAATATCAAACAATTAATATATAAACAAGCAGGAATACAAAAAAAAAAAAAAAAAAAAAAAAAAAAAAAAAAAAACTTAAGAAATAAATAATAAAACTGAAAGAATTCTAAGTATAAAATCCTCAAACGTTAAAGATTAATATAATCCAACATTTCCAAAACCTCCAAGAGTACAACTCGGGAATCCATCTAGTGGACTCCTAAATAAAATCCCAACTGAAAAAAAAAAAAAAAAAAAAAAAAAAAAAAAAAAACTGAAGATAAAATCCAAATCTAAAATATGGAATGAAATCCTACGTCGTCGGTAGAGTGAATGACCGTCTCTGCTCAGCCCGAACAAGCCCTAAGACTAGAACCGTCCGATACCTGAAAAATGAAAGTGGGTCAGGCCCACGAACAAGTTCTATTCTAATTACAATCCAAACAGAGACCCGATACGCAGATACATCCTAAATGTCTCAACAATATTTATCTAGTCCATACACACACACACACACACACACACATATATATATATATATCCACACTAAGGGACTATCACTAGACTACAAAGGGGTCTCAACCTGAATAGAAGGCAACATGCAAAACGCACCAAAGGTGGGCATGAGTACCTAGATCTAACAGGGTACACCTCAACCGTCATAACCAGCTATGCATCCCAATGCATATACACTCCCTAACCAACGATTCTGAGACTCAATCTCATATCGTGGTACCATAAATATATATTTAAAGTCCGTCTAAAATCAGGATATGTCATCCAATTGTTCATTGATCTGACATAAGATTTATAATTCAGTTAGTCACTCAACTTATTTAGTTGATCTGACTTGACCACAAATAACAATTAATCCAGGTAGTCACTCAATTTACTCAGTTGATTTGACTTAAATATAAGTAGGATTCAATTTTTACAATCCATTCATTTATTCCAAGAAGGTAGACCTTAGCGTTTTGAGCTAGACCATCCCTAGTATGCCATCGTCTCATACCGGTGCATACAATTCATCACATCCATATAATTTACAGAACATAATATAATAGTTCAAAAATTAAAATCCAAAATATTAATCCATATAATTGCAGAATAGAGTTTATTATTTCAGCAACTAGAATCCAGAGTAAGCATAGATCAAATTTGATGAATTAATGACCCTATTGTGCATCCAAAACAAGGTTTATAATCATGCCATTGTCCGTTAAATTGCTAAAATCAAATTAAGTAATTAAATTTCTTTCATCCGTTAACAGCATGCAAAGTTGTATACTTATCTACTGTTCCATCCATTAGTGTAAAGGTATAAAATATGCCATAAGAGGTTTTAATATTCCATGAAACTATGATTTAGAACCCCCAGTATACTCCCTAAACAGTTCAGAACACTTAAATCGTCCAAACATCGCCCAAAGAAAAACCCAAAATGCCTTAATATAAGAGACCTTGTTCTTAAAACTTGAAAGCAGGCTCTACCAAGTATGGAGCCGGCTCCATGCGCCTTGGAGCCAGTTGTAGAGGGGTGGGAGCCGGCTCTTAATCCCCCAAAGCCAGCTCTTCACTTGAGGGAGCCGGCTCCCTCTTCCATGGAACCGACTCTCTCCCTCTTTGAGAGCCCTGAACCGTTTCTTGCCTTCTGCTTCATCTCCGGCCACTTTCGACCATTCTGTTCTTCATTAACATTGAACTTAAGAGTCTTAATTATATCCAGTATCATCCCAGTCATTCATTCCAAACAGTTTGCATTAAAAAGAATAATTAACACAATTACCGACTCATTATGCTTTACGATCAGACAATGAAACTTAAACTTGCAAGAGCTATTCCAGATCACATTAAACACATACAGGTGATTAATTTAACACAAGATTCATTTAATGTCTGATTAAACTCCTAGAGATCATCTAGGTATGCACAGTACACAGGTCAAGGGGAAAGAGAAAGAATAAAATTTGCATGTGAGATTTTGAATCAAAACCTTGTCGTCGTCTTCCTAAGTTTTCCGACTACGTCTGTTCACTGTCAACCTTCTACTGCTCAACCTTCCCTCCTTCTAGGTCCGTCCTTTAATTCACAGCCGAAACCCTAACTGAAATCTCTCTGTTTTTCTCACAATTCTCTCCCTGTTTCTCTTTATATCTCTGTACGTGAATAGGGTTCTACAACCCCTTTGCAGACTTATAACAGTATATTTATAGACAAATATAAAACCTAAGTTCACTTATAATTAGAGACGAAAAACCCTAATTAAATCTTAGTCGGCCACAACGTGATTTCATAAAAGAATAAAAAACCCTAATCTATACACTACGTTAAATTCATGTTTTAAATCCACCTAAGCATAAATGTAAATATAGCAAATAAATTAAATAAAACAATTTACCAATTAATTTAATTAAATAACCAATTAACCTAATAATGCAATTAAATACACAATTAAACAATTAAATCAAATAAACACTAAAATAATTAAACAATTAAGTAAATAAGCAAATAATCAAACAATTAAGCAAATAAATAAATAAATAATTAAACAAAAATATAATAAAATAATAATTAAAATGTTTAATACTATCCTTTTAAAATTAGGAGTATTACTCTATTTCCTATTCCTCCTCTCTTAACAAATGTATAATCAAAATCGCCACCGTTATTGCTGTCGCCGCCACCGAAGACGCAAAAAATAAGCCTCTTAAGTTTGGCTTCTTCCTCTTCACTCACCCCCTTTATTTCTCTAAAATTCTCACCTTTCTCTCTCTAATACCAAATCTAGCAGAGCTAAATCAGATTGCACAATGAACAACCAAATCAGATTGAATTCCTCAATTAACGAAGAGCTTGGCTTGGATTTGTGGCGGCGATTGCATCGTCCAAGGGGCTGTGATGGAGTTGTTATTGAACAATGACATTGCAAGAGCAGCAACGAAGATGGTAATGGTGATTTTGACGCCAACGGTGATGGTGGTTCGGATGGTGGCAGTGAAGGCGGTGATTAACGGCGCGACGGTGATTAAAGTCGGGCATCAATTAAGCATATGTAAATATATATATTTAGGAAATTTTGTGGAAAATCAATAGGCAAAATCATATTTGAGGAAAATCAGTGAGAGGATAAAAATATTGCTATTGATATTTATATAGAAGATCTCAGATTGCCAAAAATAGAAATGAAATAAAGAAACATCTCAGATTGCAAAAAAATATAATAATAAATAAATAAATAAAAATTAAAATCAAAGGAAGAAATAATCAAATCCAACTAATTGGTAACAAACTGTATGCCACAAATAACATCAACAAATAATACCAAACCACACAAATAACATGAAAATAGTACAACAAGTTGTCAATTTCAGTAAACCCTCAAGCAGCAGGAAGAGTTTTTCAATATCAAATTTGCATAAAAAGGGAAAACATATAGCATATATGATGTGGAAAGGGAAAAGAATGAAGGAGGAGAAAAATAATAATAATAATAATAAATTAAAAAAAAGGAAAGAAAGCTTCACTAGTGGGTCTGTGCAACCATGGACTATTGCCCCTGAGAGAGATGGATATTGATTATAGTAAAATGACTCAATTAGCCCTTAAATTGAAAGTCATAGGAATATTTTTAAGGATATATTTGTCACAAAAATGTTAGATTTGTGGGTGAGTTTGGAAATTGTCTAAAATTGTAATTTTACATTGCCTGATTTTTTTTTTTTTTTTTTAATATTCTTTCATTTTATTGACAAGAGGATATTATAGTCTTTTTTTATGCGAATAAGGAAGGTATTTGCACCAAATTGATAGTATAGGGAGATTTAATGGACTTTTTTGCACTATATCAATAGTAGAGGGGGGTTTTGCACTTAACCCTATATATGTATATATTCATAGAAACATATTTATTTACACTAATTAATGGTTTTCAATTCAATTCAAAATCATAATTTATCCAAATAATAAAATTGATATTGAAAATCAATTGCACTTTAATTCAAAAGTTTTATCCAACTGTAAGTTTTGAAATTGGATTGGTGGGATTGCAATCTTATGAAATTACAATCCCAATCCAATTCTAATTAGCCTTAATGTATTCCTAGGCTTTGTATTGCTGCTAGCTTCTGCACTGTATTTGTTGGCTTTGTATTTATTATTTTATCCAAGAACACTATTCAATGTATGTGCGAAAGTCTGTACATTTGTTGTAGGCTTGTAGCCAGTCATTTTAAGTTCAATGCTTACAATTGATTGGCAAAAGAACAATCCGAGAATAGAGCAATAAGTTCACACTGAACGAGCCTGACACACTCAGTAGCCAGAAAGAGGGCTCTCTTACAGAGGAGATCTGAATATATATATATATATATATATATATATATATATATGCTGAAAGCTCTAGCTCCAATCTTCAGGCTTTTCACAGTAACAATTCTTTGGCATAAAAACTGATCCAGCATCCAGCCAAATAATGCTTCCAAATTCAAGTAATAACTGATCCATTACTGACAATACAGGATCAATAGTCAAGACTAACCTTGTTATCCCAAAAATCTTACCTTTAACATGATTCCAAGCTGGCAATGAAGAACACAACAGAGTTGACCACTCAACAATCAATGTTTCCACCATTTAAAGTTCTAGTAGCCAGCTGTAATAGCTAAGCATTTGCAGCTGTAATAGTTCGAGTTGATATGATATATATATATATATATATTCTTTCAACTTGAACCGGTGATCTAGCAGATATTACTGCTACACTTGATCCAAGTACTGTACAATTCTGCATAAGATATACAAAAATAAATGGACAAGATCTTATCCAGGGAAAAGAAATTGCAAATCAACTAGGAGTCGAGAGAAAGCCTCGTATGCATTTAAGTTCTGCTCTGGTCCAAAGCCCATCAGCTACTGTAAAATTAATGCATCATGTCATTCCACGCAGGTTGAACATGAAGCCATACTTACAAGAAAGAATCTGCAAGGGGAAAGATTAATGCATACTCACAAACCAAAGAAGCGTGTGTCGCAATACACCGCCAATGTAGTATGTAAAGAGTGAACAAAATACTAAAAACCCAACAAAAGCTGATAATAAAATTATAGTCCATTTAGGAAAATCAATCCATCACTTTTAATATGCAATGCCTTCTTCATATGGACTAAAAACACATTTTAATGGTAGGGCAAAGAAGGAAACACAGACAGAGACATCAACTTAACGTTTCGTTCAGGATTTAATAAGCTCTGTCAATTACATCAACGGGAAAAAATAAATAAATGTTCATTGATAACGAGTCAGGATCCTATTTTTATGAAACATAGCGAGGTACACTAATTAATTGTTTGCACAATGCATGGACAATATAATTTCACTAGAGAAATTGCATGTTATCAGCAACTTAAAAATGACTGCACACTTTATTGAAGGTAATTATCAAAGAACTAGCATATGTACACCACTAAAGAAGCATTCACGATTTAACTCCACCCCGTTTCCTTAAAGGTAAGTTACCATAAAACCAAAACCAGGAAAAAATTTCGTCTAGAAGAACTCACTGACATTGATCAGTATCGATTTTTCATCACACTATACAACTATGAGAGAGAGACGAGTCCACCACTTCTAATTCTTCTCTAATTCACACTACATTCATATGGGGAATGATACTGATCTTGTAATTTAAAGAACATTAGTGCAATAAGGAAAACGTGGATATAGCAAAGATTCCAATTCAGAAGTTCAAAGTTGCTTGCTTCAGATAGGATAAAGTTATAGTCAGGTCCAAAATAGACATGTACATCCCTCAGAATTGTTGAATCATCAATGAAAATCAGTCCACTACTTTTAATAAGTTAAACATTCTTCATGGGGATGCAGAACATTTGGACAACATTTTTTTTCCTAACATAGAAAAGAACTATTGTGAAAAACTGAAATCATATACACGGACACCTTCCAGTCAGGAATTAATAATTGCCGCTTATCAATCATCTTCGAGAAGTGCTGAACAGATAGAGGCAGAGTTGGGCTTGATCTTCTTGCACCCTCCATGACAAGAAATAATGCACAGAATACATATAGTAAAGGAGAAGCAACTGTTCAACTATAGTGAAATTGTTTGAGCTTGTAACAATTAACCCAGCATTTCATCATATGTATCACTCCACATTATGTAATCAGAGTTTGAAAAACAATGTCGCCTGTGTAAGATATGCAAGCAAGATAAAACAAGTTGAAAGAGCAAACCAATCCCTCAGAACTAAATACTCATCAATCAATATCAGTCCACTATCTTTGCGCTTGGGGCAATGACACAGCTAGTGAGGTTCTAACCGAGGTGCAGCAATAGCTGGTTATTGACTGAGGCATGTGGATTGAAAGTACTAATGTAGGTAGAGTTAGTAAAGAAAGATATGATAGCAATTGGGAAAAGGTTTGGTTGTTGTTGTTGTACTTTCAATCCATGTAATGTTCTTCATTGGGATGCAACACAACATTTTAAAATAATATATGTGTGTGTGTGTGTGATAGCTGAAGTATGCAGTAAGGAAACTGAAGCTTCTGTTAAATAATCCACAAAGAAAGTCCACAATAACAAAATGACACCTAAAAGGGTTGTGTTTGTTATTACAAAATAAAAGAATCCCTCGGAATCAGTACTCATCAATGGAGATCAGTTCACTACTTTCAAATTTACATCATTCTTCATAGGGATGCAAAATAGAACAAGATCAGAAAAATCATAACAAGAAAACATGCTTGTTTCATTTCTTTTCTTTTCCTCCTGAGCAAACAATATAAGCAAAAACAAAAGGAAAACTAAATAAAACCTAGAAGCAACTGCTTGAAGGATGTGTCCAGATCCAAAGAAAAGAACACAACTGTTTAAACATTTTACTGGAAAATATCCTTAAACTAAAATGTGAACACCACATAAATGAAGTAGCTAGGTTTAGAGATTCCAATAAATAAGTACACCTCTTTTAAATGATCACATGAATACATATTGACTTGGATTTACCTCTGTACTGACAATTCAGAGGAAAACGATAAAGAAAATAATAACAAAAGGCCAACCATAAATAATCACAGTAATAAAATCCAACAGGAACAAAGCAACCAAATGTTGAACACAACACATTATATATAAAGAATCAGAATTCAATAATTCCAAAGACAACAATTATAAAAAAATCCAAAAAATTCCAAAGGCAACAAATTTCAGATGTCAAGACTACAAATTTCATATGTCATTTTTTAAGAAAAGAATCAATGAGAATATGTCAACGAGGATACCTCTTCAATCCTCATTTTAGTGAAACCCTAAAACCAACTGGCCCATACACTTAAACCCGATTTTTTTTAAAAAAAATTTAGAGTCCTCATTAACAAAAATAACGCTAAAGGTTACAATTTTATCAATTACGTATTTTTTTATTCAGATAGTTTTTCCCAACGAACCAAAAGGAATCACGACATTTCCGCACCTCAGATTGCGAATAGGTTTCAATCACGCGGCAGAGAAACCGCAGATACACATATTATATATATATATATAGAGAGAGAGAGAGAGAGGGTGGACGAGACGACGAGTTAACTAGTTAAGCGTCACCTGATGCTGAAATGGGTTGAACCCTCGAACCGGGAAAGGATGGTGACGGAGAAGACTGGTTGAGACAGTGGGAAAAAAAATTGAAGACTGAACCTGTTTGGGTTCATAGAGAATCATATCCATGAATAAGACGATGATTTTTTGCAATCTCGCACTGGCTGAGGATAATGGAGATGGGAAATTAGGACCGCAAATTAACCCAGCCAAGCTAGGTTGTTCGGGCTTGGGCTTAATTCGGCGTTGTCATCGTTTAATAAGACGAATTAAACTTAAGTTCACCATTGGTTTGGAATGATTTAGAAATAATTATACTTCCACTCTATACTTTTTAAAGATTAAATGATTTAAATAAAATATATATATTTTCAAAAATTAATGTGTAGTATTAAATCATAAAATAGGGTCTACGGATTGAATTAGGTATCAATCCTAATCTAATATTCGATTTTAACGGATTAAATTTTTTCGAATTCATTACCAATTTGTGAAATAATGGATCGAATTGTTGACCAAATTTACGAATTAAGATTTTTTCAAATAGTTCAATGCTGTTATTTTTTAATTATCATCCAATAAATATTTAAATGATCATTAACTAATACATTTTTAAAAATCATTAAATAAGTACTAACTAATTTAAATTAAAAATATTATTAACTAATTCATTTTTAAAATATATATATAAATTATGTATTATATATTATTGAATTCATCACTAATCCTCATCCGACTAAAATAATGAGAGAGAACTCTTGGACCATATAATTTATCTACCTATCTTCCACTGGTAACATAATACATCCTAATCGATCCAATGGTAAAGATTCTTAATTCTTAAAATTAAATTAAATAAAATTCTTAATTCTTAAAATTAAATATTGCTTTAATGGTTATCTAAAAAATAAGTTGAAGCAGACCACAAAAAAATTCTTACGTTGGATATCTCATTTTTTATTTTTTATTTTTTCAATAAGTCCAAAACCAATGGTCCAAAACGTACAGCTTAACCGGGTCACCCGGTTACCGGGGAGAGACCCAACCACTTTAGCATGTCGTCGGAAAGGAGAGAACTTGTTGAGTGTGTGAACAAGACTTTAGGAGGAGGGCACAGCAATGGAGGCGGACTTGAAGAAACTGTTGATGACACTTTCTCTCTCTACAATCTTCATGATTTATGGTGTGAGTGCTTGGACTGGTGAAATCCATGGCAGAGTTGTCTGTGACGTATGTGGTGATTCCTCCATTGGTCCCGAAGATCACGTCTTAGAAGGTCCTTTCCAACTCTCTATCTCTCTCTATGTATCTTTTTTTTTTGAAAGGCGTATATATATATATATATCTCTCTAATTTATGATATTTCTCGTAGATTGTTGCACTTCGTTCAATATTTTGTACTGGGTTTTGTTTTTGGCTGATAATTCTTCATCGATGCTTACTAAAATATCGGGCTTCTTTTAAACTTGCTTTATGTCAATTACTAACTTAAATTCTTGGTATATGGGGGTGTTAGGTAGAGAAGGGTTGCGTGGGCTTGATCAAATTCGTGATAATAATATGTTGATTAGGTTATTTGGGGTTCATCGGAAATACCACATTTGATTTGTTAGGTATAATCATTTTGCAACCTTTAATGATTTTAATTTCAATTGAGCACGGTATTTACATTTTACAAGCTATAATTGAATGGGTTATTGTCATTTGGCATTTGCAAACACTAGCCCTTATTCATCATGAATACCCAGTATTTTTTTTTTTTTTTTTTTTTTTTCATACATATTTTATTATCTCTTGATATCTTTATTAAAAAAATAAATATGGGATCAAGCTAGTGATTCTCTTGATAAAAAATTTGTAAACGATAACTTCAGAGAGAGCCATATTCTAGTATAAAAGCCTAGGGCTTCATACGACATCAAAAAAGCTAGATTACCATAACTAAACCGAAACCCGCCTCCTATAAGAAGTACTTATTATGTAAACAAAAGCACTCATATTCCTAAACAACCATTTTAATTAAGACCTTCCTCAACTTAACACTTTGGGATTTGAATTGTGATTCCTCTAGATAGCCGATGTTATACATTTTAAACTTCTAAATATCGATTTAAGAGATAAGTCATGATACTACATGTTTAGCACTCCCATGCTAGAACAAGCTTATTCAGTATAAACCACACAGATTTATCAACCAGCTCTGCTTCTCATCCTCGACTTGACACTTCCTATTGGAAGACGCATGATAGGGTTAGGTTAGGGGTTATGATGTTGAGCTGTCTTAAAGATATTATGTTTGCTCGTTATCAATATACAATGTCGAAGGGACATATGTTTTCCTAATTTCATTAGCCATAATAATGTTTAGTTTTTGAAAGAAGGATTAAATGCTTCTTTTTTTCTTAGCGTCATATATGCAATGTTCTCAGTATTCATCTTAAGTTGGAGGGGCTGATGAAAATATCTTCCTTATCGGTGCTGATAAATTTATTAATGGGTAGTTTTAGCTACAGGGAATTTATCATGCAGTTAGGATGTTTGATAAAATGAAGGTGATTTTCCTTTTAATATATGTCAATCACCTATATGTTGCGCCATGCACAAGGGTGGGATCTGGCGCAATGGGTAGATTACACCATTGTGACATGGAGGTCGTAGGTTCGAGAAAGAAAATAGCCTCTGTGCCGTGTACTCCGGACCTTCCCTAGACTCACCAGTGGCGGTAGCCTCTTGCGCTAGGCTACCCTTTTTTTCTAGGTGAAGTTCACAAAAAGGAGTGCAAACTTGTAATGGTTTGGATCTCATTTCTGTTTGATTTGCATGATTTGCACTGCTATAAAGGTTGTAACCACGAGTGTTTATGATGGATTTTATATGCTCTAAGCCTCTGATATGTTGAAGAGAGTGAAGGGAACTGGAAAATTATTTTTTAATTATTTTTTTTTTTTTGATAAGTGAAGGGAACTGGAAAATTATTATTAGGCCATTGCTACTATTCAAAGAATGTAATTATCATTTAATGTTGGGTGAGATTTTTCATATCCATTGGTGATCTACATTTAATAGGATAAGATTTCATGTATTACAAAGTGCAACAGGAACCTCAAGCAATAACCCTTTGTATGGATTAATAAACCAGTCTTAACACTGCCCTGCATTGTTATGCCAATCGGCTGACTTGGATCAATAATTTGGTTGCATTTGCAATCCTTAATGGTCAGTTGGACCAGCAATTCTGTCATGGTAAGATATTTTTACCAGTCGTATAGATTGAGTTGTTGTGATTGGTAGTGGTAGAACTTTTTTGCAACTTTGCTCACTATCAAATGCAAGAATTGGTGAACTAAAGTTGCCAAATGGTCCTGCTCGAGAAGATTGTTGGGTGCAAGACATTGTCCTTTTTCCTCTTTTTCTTCTTTTTTCTTTTTGGTAGGCAGGAGTATATGTTAAATTTCATCTGTTTCCGGAAACTTAAAGAACTTCACCCCTAATTTTTTTTTTCCCCTTAAATGCCACAAATTTGTTTTATTCTTTTAAGTGATCGAAGTTTCAACCTGAAGTTCAAATCCTTATATTAATGTGCATGAATTTTATATTTACACAAATATATCCCAGTTAATTTGATTTTCTGGAATGACAGTTGAACAAAACCAAACTTTAATTAAACCTTGTATGCTTTTATTTCTTTCATTTGCCAGCTTTAGAGTACAAAATCCATTAGCTCATTTGGTTTGAGTCCAGCATGGTGAATCATTCATTTGAATTTTTATTATTTTATTAAGTCAGTTTGGCTCTCCTGATTATCTATGCTACTGGATAATTGTGATTTACCTTTACTAATTCAATGGAGAAAAAAGTGAGTGGGAGGGAGCAAGGGAAGAATACCTCTCGGCAAAACTTGATGAACGGCTACTGCCTAGGTGTAGGAAATACTACTCTCAAGTGTAATTTGAGAGCAAAGCACGTTTCATCTTATGTGTAACAATGTGTAGTGTGTTCATTCATGTACAGATTCCTGCTCTTAACCATAATAGTTTGTGTGTTCGCGCATGCATATGACGTGTTTCATGGTTTTCAAATCTAGTTATCCATGAAGTGGTAAGTTAAACATGAAGCTTTATCAATTGCCTTGTCACTCTAATTGGCTGTTGGCCCAAACATGGAGTGTGGTTGCAAAAGCTTTATATGAGGTCACACAGGCCAAATTATTATCGCAAAACCATCCTATTTAATGGATATACCAGTGATAAACACCAAAGGTTAGTGGGTTTAGTGGCAGAATAGATATAGTGTTAAATAAAGGGTGGAAATTTTCATTGTTGAAGGTGATTCCGTAAAATAGAGATCTTTTATTGTAAAATCAGAAAAATAGAGATTTTGTATTGTAAACAAATTCTTGAAACCTAATTATGATGGGTTGGTATCTGGTGAATTGTGCCAACAAATATTTTATTTATTTTTTCTTTACTCAAATTTGACAAGAACATCGACAACCTAGTTAGTAATAGCTGCCGGTATCTGTGCCCTCTAATTCCAAGAAGCTGCAATGTTTGATATTATTTTTCACTACCAATCATATAAATGCGTGATGACAGTGACTAAATCTAAATTATGCAATAGCTTAGCTTTTGTTTAACCAGTTCATGGCCTTACAAGTTTCACCATCCCGCATTGGCAGGAATCGTGATAGGTAATGGTCTTTTATAGACAGGCTTGGTTCTCTTAAGGCCTTTAGGAGCAATTTTTGAGGATGGATGTCTTTTAGTTGTTAAAATTGTCACTTCTGCATTCTTTTTTTATAAACTTATTTATGAGCATATTTTGTTGCATGTATGCATACAGAATTCAAGAAATCATGTTTCTAAAATTAGTATTATTATTTTTGTGATTAATCCTGTTTCGTCTTGTATAGACTCTATACTTAGGTTTGACTGAAATCTATGAATAACAAAATGGAATGATTTTATTTCCATATCGATGTCAATAGAGTTAATGTACCCAGCTAGGTATTAGGTAATTTAGGTTACGGTTGGAAGTAAAATCTACAAGAGCCATGAATGTTGTCTATAATACTACATTAGCAATTATGAAGCACCGGTAAAACTTTTGCTGTTTTCAATTGTAGCTTGTAATTATGAGTTCTATGTGAACGATATTTGGTTTTTGGTTGTTTTGATAGGTGCTGAGGTAGCTGTTCTTTGCATCACAAAGTCTGGGGAAGTTCTTAATTATCAGGCATTCACAAATTCTAAGGGGATATACACAGTAGCGGAGACAATGCCAGAGAGTGACCGTTGGGATGCTTGCTTGGCAAGACCTATCAGCAGCTTCGATGAGCACTGTATCCATCTGGGGGAGGGCAGTTCCGGTGTCAAGTTCAGTTACAATCATCCATCAGGTTATTTTCACACCATCAGACCTTTTGTCTACAGGCCTGCCAATGCCCCAGTGTACTGCATTTAAATGGTTATACCTTCTTATATATGCTTCTTTAGCTACCAACCAAATGAGCTTGTACATATTAAGCTTGACCATGAGGTCTATGCTTGTGACTAAACTTGTGATATCGCGGGCGATCGTGCTCAGTGTAAAACTTAATTCTGCCAAGAGTACTATTCGATGATGAAATGAATGTGAGAACTTGGTTAATTTCTGTTATTTCCACAATCCAGAAGGTATTGAAGTAACATTTTGTTTGGATGGATGACATAGAAAGATGGAAGGATGAAATGGGAGGGTGTATGTTTATCCCTTGTTTGGTAAATTTGCAGAGGGGAGAGAGAATAAGTAGAGAGATTGTGAAACTTCTTCTGCTCAACTTTCTTTGTTTCCCTTGCCAAAAGTAGGAGAAATTGAAGTTTTGAACTTTTGATGCTTTCTACAAAATGTGATTTCCTATTTTTCAATTGAAGTTTTGAACTTTCGATGCTTTCTACAAAATGTGATCTTCTATTTTTCATTTTTATGCTTTTCGTTTTTTTTTTTATTTTTTTATTTTTACCTCTAATCTCTTTAAAATTTCAAACAAAAAGGTGTGATCCAATAATGGAAGATTATTGCCTTCATTTTGAATATTATCATCCATTCAAGGTCCAAACTGTTCGAACAAATTCAACCCCCAACTGTCAAATATATTGTAACAATGCAAAAAGAACACGTACTGAATAATGGTTTTTATTTTATTTATTTTTAAATCGGTGATGTAACCTGAACCTGGTTGGAAAAATTTTCAACCTAATAAGTGTAAACTTGACTCAAATTCAATATTATTTATTTATGATATTTACTTTATTAAAATATTAGTTACTTTACACATTAAAAGAAAAAATATATGTGTGCAGATTGAATTAAACCGATGGACTCATCCCCGATCTCAAAAAAAAAAAAAAAAAGAGCAGCTTTAGCAAACATTTCTTCTCGTAACAAACTTCATTTTGGGCCAAAATTTCGCAATTAGACCCCTCCAAATGGACTCGTCAGAAATTGGGCTCCACCCATTGGGTTGGGAAATGGATCTCTGAAAGGAGCGACCCTTTTTTCTTTTATTTTTTTTTTATTTTGGCCCAAACAGTGTTTTAGCCAAGAACACTGTTCCTCAGGGCATGTTTGCCTGACAAAAATAAGGAAAAAAACAGATTTTTGGCTTCTTTTTGTCTCTCTCTTTTTTTTTTTCTTCAAAATAATTGAACCAAAAGCCGTTAAGGCACTATATGGCTAACCCAAATAGTGCCTTAAAGGCTTTTTTGGGCAATAAAAAGTTTAAAAAAGAAGAAGAGAAAAGTGTTTTTTTTTTTTTTTAAATTTACTTTTTAAAATATTCCTACTGACATATAGCCGTTTTAGGCACTGTTTGGCTATATTGGTACAAAAACTTATTTTTTGAAATTTTTTTTTTGAAATAATTATATTTTAAAATTTAAAAATATTAATATTTTCGAGAGTGAAAATGTACCATTAGAGTACATGCGATAGTTAAAATTTAGAAACTCTAAATTGCACGTGACTATAAAAAATGTTTATGTGGCTATTGAATAGTGTTGATATGACAAATTCGAAGTGCCTAATTTTAGAGAATCTATTGATGCTATTGGTTGGGTTCACTCCAATTTTAATACTACCACATAAAGATGTTAGTCGTGACGTGGCATCAGTCAAATGTGATTAGTGTGTTGACGTGGAATAATGTAATTGGTCAATTGATGTGTTACTTTCCTATTGGTGGTGATGATGCAAATACATGGTGGAATGTGTGTTGGTGTGATGATTTGTTGTATGTGATTGGTCGGATGACATGGGTATGTGTGATTGGTGTGAGTTGTAAGGTATGAAAATTATTATATATCTACAATCAGTTATATTATAAAATCTAATAAAACCAACACATTCATTTATGATCATATATTAATTTCTAGATAGAATAGTGTGTCATGTGATGGTCGGTGCTTGTATTAGGATCAAATTTTTAAAGAAAGAAAAACTATCCAAACAATATCTCTTATTTTTTGTTTTTTTATCCTGACAAATACAATTCGAACAAGGCCTAATAATCTATTTTATTAACAAACAGTTTGTAACTCTCACTCTAATTAGTATTTTTCTATCAAAAAAAAATATATATATATATATAGATTATAATAAATGAAATAATATTTCTTTAGATTCTTCTCTCTTTCTTAACTCTCATTATTCACTTTTTATTTATTTTTAGTTATTTCAAAATAAATATTCAATTAAAAAGTTAAGGTATTGATTTTAATATTATCAATTTATCCTCTTGCATTTAGTGATCCACTATAAATTATTATAATAATTCATTCATTATTAATATAATAAAAAAATACTAATAAAATTCATGATTAAAAAAAATTAGACTAGGGAACATTTATTTTGCAACTCATAAAAAAGGCGAAAAAATACCGCGTGGTATACAGAGAATAGGCAATTAAAGACCTGGCAAATATGGCCCACCCTCCAGGAGCCCAAATAAACCGTTGAAAAGAAGAGCGTTGGAAATGTTCTTCAAAGATTTACGAATGCGGAATGCTCCTTCCCATCAAGGACCGAAGAATGTATTCGTCACATTCTCTCTCTTTTTGAAAGGGGTGCAAATTGTTATAAACCTGCAACCATATAGAGAGAGTTGTTGTATCGCATCCAAAAATGATACAGTGGCTGAACCAGTTGCGAATTGCATTCGGGGCTTCATTTCTCTGGCTCATCTGCTTGGTTTACTTCACACAGGTTTTGATTTCTCTCCCTACCCAGATCTCATCGTTTTTTATGTTTAGGAATTTATAATTTTCTGCTTCTAATATGTTTATTCTTGTTTGCAACGGACTGTTTTTTTGGGGGAATTTGGTTTTATTTTATTTTATTTTTTATTTTTAAATTGTTTCTGAATCATGGGGTTTTAAAGGTTTACGGACTGAAGATATGTGTCTTGTCTTTCTGGGTTTTTCAGTGTTTATTGATTTATAGAGTTTGGATCAGGTTCTAGCTTAAGATTATTTTATAGAGTTTGGATCAGGTTCTAGCTTAAGATTATCCATCAATTGATGAGGTTTTCATGATTTGCTTTTCAATTAGATATTAAGACTAGTTTAGATAACTTGCTGAGTTAACTGGGTTCTAATTTCTATAAGATAAAGTGGTAAAAGAAATTCTATATAATATAATAGAGACATTCTTTCATCAGCTCAATTAATCTCAAGGAAGCCTATGTTCTTATCATTTTAAGTTGAGTGTTGTCCTGGCCATCTTGCAGCAAATGTAGGGAAAAAAAAAAAAAAAAAAAAAAAAAAAAAAAAAAAAAAAAGAAAGTACTAAGTACATGGTTTGGCCCTCCTATAACCTTGAGGTGTGCTCTGATCTTATTTACTGTGAGAAAATTGAGAATAGCAGTACAAGCATAAAATTGCTCAAGTTTAATCCCAAACCGAGGTCCTAAAATCATTGTATGCCCCTCTCAACTCACTCTCTCAGTCCCATATATAAAAATAAGGCTCAATTTCACTTGTATAAATGATAGTCCCGGACTGCATATTTACAATGTTCCTTTCGGTCTAGCTTCATCAGAAAGCTTATATTAAAGTTAGAATCCTCCACAATTTTGTCACATCCACCTTGAAGATTACATGGGATGATCACTTCTAGTGCACTTGCAGCTTTGCATCTTCATTTTAGATGTTCATCACCTGGATACTTTACCAATCTTAAATTGTGCAAAATATTGATCAAATCCAAGAAGTGCTTGAACTTCTACTGACTTTGTCAACATATCAACTGCATTGTTCTTAGTGTGGATCTTCAGCAATTTACCTTACTTTCATCACATCATGATAAATTTGATTTTTCACATTGTATGATACTTTTTTAAGCCTCCTTGCTTTATTCCCAATTTATCGACCAAACTTTTTGACCAAGTTCCGTATGTAGCTTCCACTGTTGCCATGTACTTCGCTTCAGTTGTTGATAAAGCAACTGCTGATAGAAGCATAGCTTTCCAACTAATAAGCCCACCGGCCCGCTTGTCCACATCACCCGCATAGTCTGCATCAACAAATCTCACAAACTGTTCTATCGCATATTGCCTTTGGAATAAGATTCTGGTATTCATTGCACCTCTTAAGTACTTGAGGATAATGCTTTCACTTATCAAAAAAAAAAAGTACTTGAGTATAATGCTTTTAATGCTCCTTACGTAGATTAGCCATGTGGTTCCTCACAACATTGATTGCATGTCAGGATGTGACTTGTGAGAGATTTGGCCAACTAAAAAACATAGCATGCATTTCCTACTGCACTAGTATGCGGTACACGACATTTTCTCCACCTCATTATCTATTTACAAACATGATCTAGAAGATGACTAGTTGTAAACATATTGGTGATACCGTGATAAAACTGGTTTAAGTATTTTAGGGTCTTCTAGCATTTCTGTAATCCTAAATTGTTCATGTTAAAATGCTTCTTCTGCTGTGCAATTTTCAAGATCCAAATTGCCTATTTATGATGCTTCCTTACACCTAGCTTCCCTAGGAAGCATTTAACTCATACCAGAGTTGGATTCTTCCATAAGCAATAAATTAAAAACCATAACACGGCTGGAAAAAAAAAAAAACACTATGAATAACAATCAACTATCCCATCCTTTTCCGCCATTCTTTTCAGTCTAGGCCTTTGGTTTCTCTTGCATCACAAGCCAACATGTCTTTTCTTAGTACCCCCCAACCATGCAATTGTGGTCTTTTCTTCCTCAACTTAAATCATGTAAAATTTTCTTCCCGGTGTTGTTGATCAGTGATGGAGCAACATGGGGCTGAGTCGGAGCAGCTGAAGTACTCCTCTCAAAATTCTCAAAACCTCTTTAGAAATCAGCCTTTTCTCTCTCCTCTCTCTCAATCTCGCACTTTACCACTCTATGGTTCTTTCTCTTGATCTGAAGAAGTTCCTCTCCCATCAGCCATTGGTTTCTTTCTTTGACTCTTTGAGGCTCTCTCCAAGGAAGAATTGCAAAGTGGAAGACTTTCCAAAAGCTCCCCTCTAATGGATTTTTTGACCCTAAACTAGTACTCAAGAAACCCAACGTCTCCTTGTGTCAATGTTGTTGATGGATTTATTGCACATGCTGGAACTATGTCAATGATTTCATCATCATGTCCCCAAGTGACGTTAATCTGGATATCATTTAATCCAATTTATGAGTTTATTATTTCTTAACTAATCAATATTCTATGTCAGAAGGCCACTACTCGGTGTTGATTCCCCCCATGTGGGATGGTGGGAATTTGGGAGGATTAGATTGGGTACAAGCCTAACCTATAATGTTATTTGTATAAATTATAAAGTGGCTACGTTAAGACTCAAATTCATGTTCTTATGCTTGTTAGTTTAAGCTTAATTAATCAATATTCGGACCCATAAAAAAATAAAAAAATAAAAAGAATTTGTAAGTAGATTTTCTAAGTTAGCATATTATTATATAACTTTCGTTGACTACTATTAGCTCTGTAATTCAAAATTGTCTAACTATATTATGAGAAGTTATTGCTACTGAACCAACGGCCAGTGGCCTGGCGGTATCAGCCTCTTACTTTCCAAAGAGAGGTCAGGGGTTCAAGTCTCAGAAGAGATAAGTGTGTGTGAGTACCACTTGATTGGTACGCCTCCAACAAAAAGGGAAATAAATTGTTGGTTTGCTGTTGATTCTTTAGGAGAAATACTAATAAGAAGCTATCTATGTTGTCGTGTTTTTTTTTTTTAGGTCAGATCAAGTATCTTTAGGCCTGCAAATCAAATTAATTTGGAATTTCTTGGTTTACTGAAATTGCAAAGGAAGAGTTGAAGTACCCATATAACATGATACATTTTTGGAATGGTCTCCTGAAATAGGTTTTACATGCTCAAAAAGAAAGTAGAAACAAAGTATTGTCATTCCTCAAAATTTCATTTAAGTATTTTTCACAATCTTTTGTGCTGTTATGCAAAAATTAATAAGGTTTGCAGTTGAAATAAACCCCATGTACCAAGAAATATTACATCTTGTGAACCAATTGCTTATGGTGGATCAGATAAGTTCTGAGTTAGTAGTATATTTGATGCATATCTCAATCTCTTGCTTTCATTTAACCAATAATGTCCTTTTCTTTTTAAAGGTTTGTTTGTGATTTTGTTACCCCCCCCTGGCTTCTCTTTTTCTTCTGTTTATTTTATATTGTCAAATTCTGTTCACTTACCTTTCTCGATAAATATGTGATGTGTGTGAGTAGGGTTTCAGATCTTTTGTATGGACAGCAGTTTCTTATCAGCTAAAAGACAGGCTTAAGCTTTCACCCTCAGCTTCTCAATTTGTGTCTACAATAGTATTTTTCCCATGGAGCATAAAACCATTATACGGGTATGGATCTAACTCACGGTAATTGTATATGAATTGCTCAATTTGGAAATACATGCATCCATAAGTTTCATACAAAATAAGTATATCTTTTGAGAGTATCTCCAAGATTCCCTAAATACTGCTTAATGTACATCTTTGCATGTAAACCGAAACTAAACTTAAGAGTACTAAATAAATCATATAATGTCTGGTTGGAAAAAAGGAAAAAAGAACAAAAAAAAAAAAGAGTAAAGTATTTATAATCCCTGGAATAATTTTATTTTTGTTTCCCCAGCATTTCAAGACTCAAGCCATGCTTTGAATGAAGTCATTACACAACATAGTGGAGTAATTGCTAAACTTTGATTTATTGCAAAGAGTGATGATTAAATAAATATGAAAATTTTGATGTTTGTTAAAATAATAAATAAACACCTGTAAAGAACTGATAGGAAAAACAACAACCTACTTTGCAGAAGACATTGGGATGATACCATCTCAAGGAGGCATTCAAATGCCACTTTTGAAGGAGGGTGGCCACTTAGGCTCCAATAATGTTAGCTGACGCCACTGAAATTTGATAAATATGGGGAGGCCAGTTCCAGATATCTAGAAATATGGATATTTTCAATGTTTGACTCATATAAATCCTTCTCTAAAGTTAAGCTGGGGTCAATTTTGAAAAGTCAGATAAATTTTTTTATTTTATTGCATGCTTACAATTTAAATTCATGTATACGGTATACCTGTACGAAGACCTAAGTTGTGTATGGTCTGGGAGAGAAAAACCTTTTCAACGTAATAATTAAAACATTTTTGGTGCGGGGAAAAAAGATATTTTTTGAAAAAAATACAATCAGTTTAGCAATTTTTATCTGTTTACTTGCCATAATGTGAGAGCGAGCCTTGGCACAACGGTATGATTGCTCCATTGTGACTTGGAGGTCGGGGATTCGAAACAAGGAAATAGTCTCTCCACATGTGGAGGTAAGGCTGCATACATCTGATCCTCCCCAGATTCTGCAATGGTGGGAGCCTCGTGCAATAGGTTTGCCCTTTACTTGCCATAATCTCATTGGTTTTGTCAACTTTATAAATAAAAAAAAAAAAAAATTGATTTAATGATGATATATTTGAGGGAAAGTTAATTTTTATAGAAATCACAGAATTAAAAGTTAATAATTGATTAGGTGTTGAATGACCCCATTGAAAAGAAAAAGAAAAAAGAAATCCAAGATCCCCCTTTGCATATGGAACCATCAAACAATGAAATGGGAAAAAAAAAAAACTAGTGGGCAATGAGATGGTCAAGGTAGAGGGTGTAAAAGAATGTTTGCTAGAACATTAAATTAGTTTAATATTTTAAATATAATTATAATGGATTGTTTAATTGGTTGTTTCAGCACAGATTATATGTGGAGAAAGTTAAATGTTTTTTTTAAACCTTTTTGATGTCATTCATTCTTCTGAACTCTGAATGTGTCTTATGTTCAGAATCTTGTCTGATTGCATCCCAATTAGAGGAAGAAAAAGGATTCCGTACCTGTTGATTGCTACTGTGCTCTCTCTCTTGCCATGGCTCATTTTGGGCCTAAATGCATCCTTAAGGAGTTCCAGAATGCAACTCATGATTTTTTTATCAGTGCAAAATTTGGGCTCTGCCATGGCAGATGTTGTGATTGATGCCATGATAGCTGAGGCAGTAAGACTTGAGCGGTATGTTTATTCATTTAAATATCAGTTCTACTTATGTATATATGAATTTTGAATTTAAAATCGACCAACGATATATGATACAGTAGGCACTCAACTGCTCCTGAACAACTGAAGTTTAGCTTGTTTTACTTGTCAAAAAAAAAAGAGTAGTAGCTTGTTAGGAATCTGGTCAGACTTGTTTGCCAATCAAACAAGCCAAGTGCAAGCTGAGGTTTTGACATGATTACTTTAATTGCCACTCTTGATAAACTTGAGGTTTCTGTTTGTGAACAATTGAGATAGGCATCATGCAGTTGTAGTGACATAATCCTTGCACTTTGATATAGCTTGTGAGATTTGCGAAGACACAAGGGCCACTGCTCGGCACGTTGTTAAAATGCTCGAACTATCAAGCATTATCATGCTGGTTCGAATCCTGAGAGCATCCACTTTGTGCAAATTGTGCCAAAGGTTAGGTCTGTATCTAGTCCACCCCATTGAACACTCTTGATTAATGAGGACCACATTGGGTAACGATCCTTTAGATATGTAGAGACACATGTACACCCCTTTGAGCACTCTTGATTAACGGGAACCACATTGGGTAATGAACCTTTAGATATGCAAAGAAACGTGTAATCTTTTGTATACATTTCACTTGCTGAGGTGCCGGATTCAATGCAAAAAAATGTCAGATTAGTTGAGTGAACAAGCTTGAGCTCTTCAAACCCTAATATAACAAGCTTGAATTGGAGCTTGCTCAGCTAGCAAGCCTAGCATTCAAGTCAGTGAAGTTTGAACAGCAGGGTACTTGACTTTCTTGAACTCTGCTTGATTTCACCCCTTGACCAAATACGCTTGGATTTTTTGGTTTGCCTACCTTGAGGATTCTTCATAACAATGGTTGAACCAAATGGGATCTACCCACCCAAGAAGAATCTGGCCTTATGTTTGCTGTACCTTTACCTTATGTTTGCGTCTACTCTAGGTGTGCAAATCTCCTGCGCGGTACATGCTACCAAGGAGGTCTGCCACATGTATATCTTAGAGTTGATGATTTGTTGATATATATATTTAAAAAAAATTTTGTTTATTTTGAGTAGAATATGAGTTGATATTTTGTTATGCTTGTGATCAGGGCTTCTTTTGCTGGTGATCTCCAGTCAATATCTTGGATGGCCATGGCTTTTGGAGGAATCTGTGGGAGTTTGTTAGGAGGATATGCACTAAGTAACTTAGAGATAGAGAGAATTTTCCTTTTATTCTCTGTATTACCAACCCTACAGCTTTTTTCGTGTGGTTTGGTCAAGGAGAATCCCATAAGTGGTAAAGAATTGCCTGATTTTTCTAACTCAAGCCCCAACGGTGCAAACGGAAACACCAGTGTATTTGAGGAAGATAATCTCTCGCGTGTAGAGTCTAACACCAGTACATTAAGGAGAAAGAAGAGTCAAAAGAAAAGCAAAAAGAGACCCATCATCACAAGCAAATTCCGAATTCCAGAAAAAGATGGCTCATTAACATCACAGTGGTTCCAGTCTCTGAAAATGGCTTGTTATAGTTTGTTCCGAGCTTTCAGACAGCCAATGATTCTAAGGTAACTCATGAGAAATTTTGTGGTACTCAGCTGGTTGAGGCTCATGATCCTCATCAGTCTACTCATCCCCCTTCAGGGACTTAACTTTTATTAGGACAACCATTGAAATGTTCAAATTGCTCAATGTCATAAAAAAAACCTTTGAATGGGTGGTTAAGTCTATGAGGTTTTGGAATTGATGTGCCATATGGATTTGCATTACACAATCATGCAAATTCACTATTGGTTGCATTTATTGGCTCGATCAGGCTGATACTATAGATGATTGTTTTCACAGTATATATTTATGGTTTCTTTCTATATATATATATATTTCTAACCATGCTTACTTTCTATTGAAACTCACTTTCTGGAATGCCAGACCAATGGCGTGGTTTTTCTTAGCAAATGTGACTGTTCCAAATCTCTCAACAGTAATGTTCTATTACCAGACGGAGTTCCTAAAATTAGAAGCTTCGTTTTTGGGTACAACCCGTGTTGTTGGGTGGTTGGGCCTCATGCTTGGAACCGTCATTTATAATCGCTATTTAAAGAACATGAAATTACGAAGAATTCTCAGGTAAGTAGTCGGTACATATATCAGTGCTATATTTTGGGTCTTATTTTCTGACTAATTTAATTGATTTCTGATTTATAAAATATTATGCAGGTGGGCTCATGTTGGTATATCTATCTTGAGTCTTCTAGATATGGTTTTAGTGTCTCGATCAAATGTTGCGTTTGGTATATCAGACAAAATCATGGTGCTATTTGGGTCGGCTCTTTCAGATGCAATTAATCAATTCAAGTATGTGATTTTTTATTCTCTCTCTCTCTTTCAGTTGTAGTTTTATTTTCGGTTATGCAAGACAGAGTATCCTGGATTTAGAATACATGCATACTTGTCCAAGTTTATAATGTGTAGTAGGTCTATCAGTTCGTTTATGCATCTTTGCAGCACAGGATTCAGAACCTATAGAATTGAGCTAATCCTTTATTGTTACATCTTGCTGTTGTGGACTAATTTCCATGTAATTGCAGGTTTATGCCGTTCTTGATCTTATCAGGACAGCTTTGCCCTCCCGGAATTGAAGGGACTCTGTTTGCCCTCTTCATGTCATTAAACAACTTTGGGTCCACATTGGGATCGTTTGTTGGTGCCGGTTTAGCTTCATTCCTTAACATCTCTTCGGGTTCTTTTGACAACCTTCTCTTGGGTATTGGCGTTCAGGTCCTCTGCACCTTCATTCCAATCGCTTGCCTCTTTTTGATACCGAAGGAAGCCACGGGGACTTCTGCATAGTTTAGAACCTTTTAAATTAGAACAGGATTACCAAATGACACAGAGGAACAGAATTCTTTTATGGCTTTGATCATTCCTTATAGGTTTGTAGTCGCACAACAGAGATTCATACTTAGGGATGCAGATTATAAACTCTCACTGCACAATTCCCATTTTGAGCTTGCCTTTGGCAAATTTTGGTCTTTTTAACTTTGTAATACAACTTTGTAAAATAGCTTTGGTTGACAGATTAATCCAAAGAAGGAAGTTATTTGAAATATACCATCATTTACCTGAACCTTTTGTTACTACTAATCTACAGAAGGATTAATGTGATCCCATCTTTTTATGTAGTTTGTTATCTAGACGTAGGCTAAACATGTTATTTCTTAAGCTCATGGTTACAAGGATCCTGCCTCTCTAGGGATGGGATTTGGTAATACATATGATGTGTGGGATACTAATAAGCTATGGTTTGCAAATATTTTCCGAGCTGTTACTATTTAAGCCTGGTCAATGAACTTTAACTTATTATAATCACTTGAAAAAGAAAAACACCCTCAACTCTGTTTTGGATTTAGGTAATTGTTGTATCTGATTCTCTCCCACAAAAACTTGGGGTAATGGTTCATCAAGTATTCATTCTTTTTCCAAGTATTTTTAGTCATCCCAAAGGTCTATTTGGAGTTGGAGCATCCTATAAAGCCGCAAATTAAATGAAAGGGCCATATGTGTATACACCTCTTTTCCATTGAAAGAATGAGCGTCCCGAATTTTTTTTTTTGGTAAAATTTGAATTTTTTTAATACATTTTAAACATAATTACTTACTTGTCCAATAATATTGTTTTGGGAACATGTAAATTTCTAAAATGAGAAATTTATTGTACTTTAAAATTTAATAATAATAACAAAGGTGTGGATGAGGCATGTTCAAGTTTCAAGACGGATAAATGATGAGTTTTTCGTCAAAAAAAAAAAAAATCTATTGAGGATAATATTAATTATTTAGAAATTGTATGTAAAAAATGAAAAATGACATTCCATTGACATTTACATAGTAGAAAAAAGAGAATGATTTCATAAAAATATATACCATTCATTACAAAAAGTTGAAAAAAACAGCATCCAAACTAGTAAACTTCCATGTGTCAACGTTAACATAGCTCAGCCAGCATTCTACCATTCTACTACCATGAACGCGATTCTCTCTTGGTAAGTTGGTAAAAGGTTCGACTCTCTGTAGAATAGCTTGGAATTTGTTCAAATCGGATCAAGAAAAGCAATAATTGAGGGATGAGGCGAAGGCCTGGAATCGGCGGTTTGCAGACGGCCGCTGCTGCTAGGGTTTGTTTCCAATCTATTTTTCTCCCTATCGCAAATTTTACTTGGTCGATTAAAATCGATACATCAATTTTGATTCTTATTATTCTGAATTCAGGATCAATATCGATTGCTCGGAGAAAATGTGGCAAAGTTACGAACTGATCTTATGAAAGAGCAGCTCACCACTTTTCGATCTCAGTTGGAAGACTTTGCTCGCAAACATAAGGTACTCAATTCTTTTTGTATCACTAATTAACATTTTGGTGTTTCTCATATTCAATTAGGCACATTGAATTGAAGCCGGTGAATGGGGATGTGAATTTGAAATTTTGAATAAATTGGTTAATATGAATTTGGGAAAGTTGGATACTGTTAAATCTTTTTCATTAACTTAGGGTTTGGAAATATGATTTGGAAATTTACCAAATTTCTATTTGCCGAGCTGTCCAAATACATGAATTTCCTGTAAATTCAAGACTTTAAGAAAAAGATTTGTGCATGGCATTAAACAAAAAAGAGGAGGTGGACCCATATACTACCGTTTTAGCAATTTAATACACGACTGAAAGTTGATATGATTGCTGCAGAATGACATCCGCAAGAACCCTGCATTCAGATCACAATTCCATGAGATGTGTGCAAAAGTAGGAGTAGATCCCTTGGCCTCAAATAAGGGTTTCTGGGCAGAGCTGTTAGGGATTGGTGACTTCTACTATGAACTAGGTTGGTACAGAGGCTGTTGATTCCAGTGCATCTCTTATTAGACAAGTCTTGAGAGTCTTATTTCTCATCACTGTAGAATAGAGAGCTTTATGATGATTCTTGCAAGTATAGTTTGATTGTTTATATCGATGCTATTGTGATATATATATATATATATATATATACTACTTTTTTCTCTTACCAATTATTTAGCATGTGTTACCAATGCACCTGACTTTGTGAAAATTCTATCATATTTTCTGTAAGGTGGTTGTTACACATTTATTACATTTAGTGAATTGGAGGAAGTAATTATTTATGTGAAACCTGGTGATTCTACACACTTAGAACCTTTTCTCGGAAGGAATACATGTTGAAAGCTTGTAATGTGGGATACTTGTGGGTGATGATCCTTCAATTAAGCGGTTAATAATATTTTCAATGCGATTTTAAATTGCAAAAGTAACATTAATATTTTGTGGTGACTGTGAAACAACAATCTATGAACCATGATCTGAAGTAGATTAGATTTGTGAACTACTTATAAAAAGGTTAGAACTGGAATGTTATTTGTATTTCATGCATGTGGAAAATAAGGATAAGGCGCTGACAATTCTTCTAATCAACCAAAATCTGTGTAGCGAGTGTGCTAAATGAGATGTTCTACTCTCAGACCTTAGAAAATGCAAATCTACTTTTGAGGATGTATTTGGATTAAATAATATTTTTTGCATGTAAAAAGACTAATTGTATTGATTAATTTAGAAAGAAATACAATAATAGGAGGTGAATAAATTTAAAGGCATATCCTTGTTTTTAGGATATGTGAGAATGTCCTATCTCTCATATGTATTGATTTATTTAGAAAGAAACAATAATGGAGGTAAAGAAATTTAAAGACATATCCATGTTTTTGGATTTGTGAGAATGCCCTTCTATCTCTCATATTTATTAAATTAGTAGTTAAATCAGCTGTGAAGAGGTAGTTGTTCTCTGTAATTGATCTTCTGTAAGAAATTTAAAGACATAGACATGTTTTTGGATCTGTGAGAATGTCCTTCTATCTTTCATATTTTTTGAATTAATAGTTAAATCAGCTGTAAAGAGGTAGTTGTTATTTGTGATTGATCTTCTGAAAGGAATGGCAGTTGGTTGAATTGGACACCTAGGTTTAAGAATGTTTGGGACACAATTGCAGTTTAGTATATCCTTTCTCATGAATTTGTTGCTTAAAGGACGTTACCCAGTGCATGTCCTGCTTACACAGGATATTGGGAGGGAAAGATTGGTACAGATAGAAGAAAAAAGGTTGGTTTTGGTTCAGTAGTATTGCAGTTTGGTCATGTTGTCTGCGTTGCCTTTGTGTTTTGGGTCCTTTATTTTTTCAAGGATGGTTTTGTGCTCGTCTGTTCTTTCTGCAGTGGTCCTTTTCTCTTTGTGATTCTTCACTGGTCATAGTTCTCATGGATAATATATATATATATATATATTTATTTATTTATTCCTGAATGGGTTTTGTATTATAAATAGAAATTCTCAATGGAGTACAAGGGATTTGAGGGCATGCTCTCAATTACAAATCTGAATATGAATAAAACCATTTCCAGTACAGCACAATCAGAAAGATGTTACACAGCCAAGCATAAAAATTGCAAGACATCATGGATAATAATTTTATTTCAAGCTCTATGGGGCAGCAGCATTATGTGCTAGAATGAATTGGAAGTATGGGTCAATATATTGCTCCTTCTATCTAAACTTTGGCCTGCATCATGTGTTACTTACATGGGCATTGTTTTTACCTTGAAAGTTTCCGAAAATCAAAGTGTAGAATAGGATGGTAAACATTTGTGTAAAAGATAAACATTTTGCCATCATGTGGTCTTGGTGGAAGGAAAGGATAACACATGTATGATAAAATTGAATATGCGATTGGGGAGATGGTGGTGTTGCAAGCCGTGATTTTTCTGGGCCTCAGTTTGTTATGGTTTTAGTGAGATATCTTGCGTAAGCTTTGATTTAATTTAATTTTCACTGCTTTGTTCTCTTGGCCACCTCTATTATGCATCCTGCGTATCCTTCTATGTCCTAAACATTATTTGAAAAACATTATCTGTGTATATGTAGCCTTTGCTGTAAAAGGAAAACTTTTGTGTGATGGAGGGCAATATTTTGCATTATCCATTTGTTTGGATTGCAAAAACTTTTTTTTATCGGCACACGTCCTATTGATGTAATTCAAACATTATCACCTCTGGACTGCAGCACCTTGCTACTTATTGAATTTTTTGTCTTCATCAGATAGGTCACTTGAAATGAAGCTTTCATGGCACTCAATTTGGAGTTTTGCAGGAAATTTTGAAATTAAATAATAATAATAATAAATTATTATTATTATTATTATTTATCAAAGATCCATTACACAATGTTCTAGTAATGGAACTTATAAATAATTATACCTCAAGCCTCTGTTTTTTTGGCATGCAATACTAGCATGCAACTTGTAAACTTCTTTTCGGTTCCCTATCACTTTTGTCCATGTCATCTTTCATGCATAATGTTTTCATGATTATAATTTTTGTAAGATCTACATTGAAGAAAAGTTGCTTGGCTTGACAGGTGTGCAAATTGTTGAAATTTGCTTGGCTACTAGACCCCACAATGGAGGTTTGATCAACTTGGAAGAACTCTGTAAATTGCTTGGTCAGAAACGAAAAAGTTCTCGTGAAGCTGTGTCTGAGGATGACTGCTTGCGTGCTATAAGTAAGCTGAAGGTTTGTGGTTGAGCATTTGTGACATCATTTTACTGCATTGTGTTAGTATCCATGGAGGCTACCATTGGGAACAATATATTCATTAGACCCTGTGGTTGATATATGTTGCACGGGCTATTGGCTTTCAAATAATTAGGTGACTACTAAGATGGATCTAGCAAAGACCTGAATTTTAGGAAATTAGGCCGATGGGGTGCCATTTCCCTGTGTGGTTCCTGTTAATAGGGTCTAGAAGGGATTGCCTCCAGACTCATAACCACATTCTCACACTTGCCCGGCCTTTTGACCAATGGGCAAAGCAATGGCCCCTGATCAATTAGGGTGTATTATATTTTTTATTTATGCTTTTATGTAAATATAATTAATATTCTTATTTTTTGTGAAATCTAAATATACGGGAAATAGCGATGGGAAAAAATTAAATTGAAGGATTGCTAGTTCACAATCTGTGAATTTATTTAGTTCATGCAAGGCATAGAGAGTTTTCTCTTTGCTTCAAGTATAGTATCTTTGCAAGCTAGTACACAATCTGTGAATTTATTTAGTTCATGCCAGGCATAGAGAGTTTTGTCTTTGCTTCAAGTATAGTATCTTTGCAAGCTAGTACACAATCTGTGAATTTATTTAGTTCATGCCAGGCATAGAAAGTTTTATCTTTGCTTCAAGTATTGTATCTTTGCAAGCATATATGTTTGTGCATCTCTTTTGCTACTTTGGATATGTTGATGAACCTTGGATTAGTTTTCAGAAGTGCATGCTTCTTGACTATGTGGTACAATACACTAACATTCGGTCATGAAATTTTCAAGGTATTAGGTAGTGGTTTCGAAGTGATTACTGTTGGAAAGAGAAAACTTGTTCGCTCTGTTCCAACCGAGTTGAATAAAGACCACAATGAAATTTTAGAGCTGGCGCAGGTTTCTTTCTTTATTCTATTTTTTCCCTTTCTATCTTCATCCTTGAATGTTCTTTATACAACTCTTTGCAATTACTGATATTGCTGATAATGTGATGGTGACGTATATTTGATTTAAGAACATCATCATTTCTTTTCCAAATTATGGTTTATACTTTGTAGTCAAGTATTGGTTTATACTTTGTAGTTAAGTGTTATTGACATTCTTCAAACAATTCTGGGTTTTTTAGCTTGCAATAAGTGTGTGGTCTGGTTGTTAGGCCTTAAATGGATAGCATTAGATAAAATTTTATGCTTAACAGGGAAATACAGTAAAGAGTTGGTGATCATTTTTGAGTACTGGTCGTATGTGTGTGTAAAATCAAGGTGAAAAAATAGTTTCAAAAATTGGAAAAACCTCGATAGTTATATTTTTTCGACAGCACCTTGTTTGTAGGAAGTGAAGAGAACCAAGAGAATTTCTCGATTCTCCTCCTCCTCTTTGGTTTCATGGGTGAAGGGAGGGAGGATAAGTTTCCTGTTTACAAGTTCAATTCCCAAGTCAGTTGCAAAAGCAATCCATATGTTGTTATTAATCAACCTTTTGTAATCAGTGACAAAATCTCTTAGTTTTTCTCTTGATAAAAAATTGGTGAAAAGTAATCAAATTCATAAGGCTTTGTGGACTAGTTTGATTATCACAATTGAATTGGACTTGGTGTTCTCTTAGGCTAAAGGATTTGTGACGGTTGAAGAGGTAGAGAGACGGCTATCCTGGTCCCCTGGCCGGGCCACTGATGCCCTTGAAACTTTATTAGATGTAAGTTATTGCCGCTGTTGTCCCTTTTTCCTTTTTCCTCTCTTTTTCATCTTCCTCCAGTTATCAGTGTTCCATTTTAAGTTGCTTATTCTTTATATCAAGCTCTTAACAAAAAGCACTGTTGGGTAATGCAGGAAGGTCTTGCAATGATTGATGACGGTCACAGAGATGGTAAACGCCTATACTGGTTCCCCTGTGTATCTTCTATTTCCTCGTATGTAGGAGCTGATAATCTTTAAGATCTGAAGTTTTTGAAATTACAATTTTTGCACTGTATGATGTTGTAAGTGGATATCTTTACAATTGCAAAAGAAAAATCAAGTTATTTTTTAATAAAATTATTCCTACTGGATACACTGCTTGTATGTTGCCGAGAAACCCAATTTGTTCAAGGCATGCAAAATTTTGGTCACCTGTACAGCTATTAGCCTAGAGAGAGCTGAACACAGTATTAGGCGGGCTGGGTTTTAATATGGCTTCACTTCAAGACATCAAGCCCAACCTTACACACCGTTTATCTAACCATCTCTGAGATATGTAACCAGTAACAGAGCAGGATTACCTTTCATACCTCGTTCGTTCGTTTGTTTTTTTTTTATTTAAAGACTAGAGTTTTAGTTTCCAATCTGATTTTCGTTTAGTTTGTATTGATATTAAACATTTTTCGAAAAAGATTCAGTATTTTCAGTTTGATTGATTGTAAAAGTTTTACACAAGTTTTAAGGAACATGACATGTGGAAGCTTTTGGTCAAACTTTCGCATCACGTGCCAACATGCTAAAATATGTTTGAATGTAAAGCATTTTAAAGACTTTTCAAAGGACAAGGTCGCTTGCGAAACTAGTGAACTTTTGATCGGTTGGATGGAAGTTTAATATAGGATAACATATGACTGTATGAGAGTCATGACATGTTAACGTATCGAAAGTGATAAAAGAAAGAGGGTTATTTTGAATATATGGTAATTTGAATTCACAAATTAGAAAAAATTCATTAAAGATTTTAATATATTATTGATAAAATTGAATGATCTTTTTTGTTATCTCGGTACATGTTTTTATAATAAATAAAATCATAAAACTATAAAGAAAATTAATAACAAAAAAAAAAAAAAAAACTAATTACTTAATAAACTAAAAACACAAGAAAATCTAATATAAGAAAACTAAAAATATAAGAAAATTACCTAAAACTAAAAATTCTCTAAAAATATAAAATAAAAATAAATAAATAAACCTAATTAAAAGAAAAAAAAAACCCACTAAATTCTGTCTTACATCACATGGGCATAAATTGAACACGCTTGAACTCTTTAGACATTCACAATGGTAAATATTTTTGGGTTCCTACCCTTGGAAAGCATTGGACATTGTTTGATTTTTATAACACTTGGAAAATCAAATACACCATGAAAGTGAACCAAATTGGAAATTATACCTCTACTGGGTCACAAAGCCCCTTATCATATACACAAAATTATGTTCCTTGCAATTTGCACGGAACTCTATTCACAAACCACACATTCTAGCAGGATAAACAAATATATATATATATATATATATATATATATATATATAAGAAGGAAACTGAATCAATGGAGTGTACTCTGAGAAGGGTTTTCATCGTTCTCCTCAGTCCAATCAGAATTAGGGTCATTCCAGGACCGGGGTCGCACCCCGTGCTTGAAGAACAGGACCATCTCCAATGCCTCAAAAACCTTGTGCTTGTCCAAAAATTCATTCCAAACTCCACTCACTATGCAGTAGTTATTGTTATATGGGGACCGGTGGTGTGCAGCGTGCTGTGATCGTGACACAAGTATTCCGGCATCTTGTAGCACCACCACCGGTGGTGGGAGGCGGCTCTTTGTGCCGTGAGCCCAAGCATGAAACTGCTGGCTGAACATAATGCAACCCGAGCACACCCCCACGAAACCATATAAAATTGGATCATTTAAAACAAGATCAATGGGAAGCACAGTGAAGGTCACAGCGCGCGCGAGTGCGTGTAGATTGTTAGCAAAATCACGCCTAGTGATTGTCCAAGGCCACTTGTGGTGGCCTTGGAATGCTTCTATTTGTGAACCAAAAATAGGAGTTGAGGCACTGCCATAGTTATCAATGCCCCAATGGTACACTCCGGAGCCGAGGTCCGCTAGCACGTAGCCCACCAAGCCTGCCAACATGGGCTCGAGCCAAATATGCGAATGGGCTGCACCGGCTACGGACTTGGCTAGTGAAACTAGCACCGTGGTGCACCCACTGGCGACCCATGCACGATGAGACCAGGTTGATTGCCAGGATGGGTCATAAAGCATAGTCCGGCTAGTGGTTGTGACTAGGGTGGGTGGTGGTGGTGGTGGTGGTACGAGCGGTGGTTGGATGACTAGCTGCTCCATGTCGCGGTGGGGCTTGGTGGTGGTGGAGCAGTAGACACGAGCGGGGAGGGAAATGTGGTGGCACGTGCGAGCATGGTGTATGGACCTAAGAGGATAGTAATGCTGTGGTAAGATGGACATTGAAGAAATTGTGCGCAAGACTAAGAAAAATGAGAGCTTGTGAGAGGCAATATATATATGTATACTAAGAAAAATGGGAAATATTGGCTGGCATGGGAGAATAGTGTTCGGTGGTGATGAGTCTAGAGAGAGAAAGAGAGGGAGTAATGTGGTGTGAGTGAAGGATGCGTGGGGGTATGGATGTCGCTAGAGCTTGGTAATGAATCTATGGCGCACATTTATTTTAGTGAACGTGGACACCTCAAATATAATTTGGCCATTTTAGTCTCTTGTGGTTGAGAGTTTGTTCACGTATCTCATTCCACTTTTCCCTTTTGTTCACGTATCTCATTCCCCTCTTTTTTGCCCTTTTTATTTGACTGATTCTATTATAATTTTGTACCCTACTTATTTGTTCCAAATAAATAAAAGAATAAAATAAAATAAAATTGTGAGAAAAAATAATAATAATAAATTATCGGAATTTAGAGCTCGCATGAGTTAGCTGAACTGATAAGAATTTTTAAAATACTCCCTAATTGTAGACTTACCAAAAGTGAAGCCTGCGCGTAAATAATAAATTTACAAACAAACACCTACTGTAGGTGTTTGTTTTTTGGTTGGAAAAAAATGGAACTCTCACAACCACTTGAACTCAATCCACACAAGCTCTTCTTGTCACTCGGCAGAAAAGGAAGTAAGTCTCTCACAACCCAAGCAGGTAGGTCAAGAATGAATTATATATATATATATATATATAACTGCAGCAATCAATATTTGTATTTGTACCTTGATAGCAATGTAGGGTCATTTGTATTATAGTGGTCTATGGTATATACTTAGTGGCGAAGCATCAGGAAAAAAGTAGCAAGAATATTCATGTCCAAAACCGCATCTTTGTTTAAAGACAATATTTTCTAAAAACTTACGATATTATGTTATACAACACTTGGAGAAAATTCAATAGAAAAAAAAAGAAAAAGATGTGAAATTATTTTAAGTTTTTTGGATTATAAAAAAGAAAAAATATATATAAATATATATAAAAGAAGAAGAAGAAGATTTTAAAGTATGTTTGTTAATAGTTATCAAATCTCGCGGGTAGTAGAGCGATTTTTTGTAAATTTTTTTGATGGTGGAAGGGTTTCTCACAATTTTTCTTCTCAATATTAAATTATATGAAGCAATTTAAAAGATTAGCTATAAAATTGCAAGCAAAAATTATTCAATAACGATGAAGTTAGGTTCAAATTTCTCCATTTTTGAAACAAATTGAAGTCACATAATAAAGGGATGAAGAAAAAATCTTTCCACAAATCAATATACGATTTTCATCCCAACCTAATATTTTTTTCCCCTCAATTTTCTCAGACATTACTCTAAAATTAGGTCGACACGTCACATTGAAAATAATTTGTTTTATCTAATCAAAACTTGTTCACTTCACAATTCCTTGCTATTAAATAATTGTCTCACAAATGGTGTCGATTTTATTTATTTATTTGTGTCTGGAGCAATACCTCTTGTAATGTTTTTTTGAAAATTTCAAATTATTTATTTTTTACTTTAGACCGAAAATTCAAAAAAAAAAAAAACAAAAACAAAAACGAAGGTCCTAATAAGTCCAAAAAATACTATTTGATGTCTCCAAAAAATAGTATATGGTAAGGAGTATGGACTATGGAGGAGCTGAAAACAAAATATGGTATCATTCACCTCTTTGGTCAATTGTATGGTCAATTGTATGGAAGTTATTTGTTCTGTTTCAACTTTTTTGTCTGTGTACAAAGGAAAGCACAACTTTTTATAATTTTCATAATGTGTGTGTATTTATTATATTTATGTATCTAAAATAAGTTTCTTGGGAGTCAACACCACATTCTTGGGTGAAAAAAAAAAAAAAAAAAAAAAAAAAAAAAAAAACCACATTCTTGGCAATTCTTTTGCTCAAAGAAACTGGGAGACTAATCAAAGTTCCTTTTTTTCTTTTGCTCCAATTGCTTTTTACTTCTGATGCATTTTGAAAGGGGTGAAACAAAGATTTCAAAAATATAAAATTTGTATAACTAGAAAAAAAAAAAAAAAATAGGCGATTTATTTAAGAATCTGTTCCAACAATTTTTTTGAATTTTTGTAAACAAAATTTCAAAATTATTCATGCAAGTTTACTTCGTATTTGAGAATATAACTAAAAATATTTTTCTTGTCCTTAAAAATCTCCAACACTATTCCATCATACGTAGTAATATACTAGGAAATAAATATGAAATTAAAAAAAGAAATAAAAAGACAAAGAAGTCGTATATATATTTTTTCTTTATGATTAATAGATAAACAATTACCTAACCAAAAAATAGTGGCGTGTGGGAAGAGATAGAGAGCGACTGAGAGAGTTAAGAATCCCTCTTTAATTATATGCAACACGACATTGTATTTATGAAAATTTCCAATAATCAGAAAGAAGAGGATGATGCTCTGATGATGCTCTGCTGATTCTAATGAAGGTCAAAGTTTTTAGGTAGAACGGAATTATCCCTAATTTAGCTCTCTCTCTCTCTCTCTCAAATTCTCCTGTTCCGCCATGCCACCCTCTTCGTTCTCTCTCCTCATCTTCCTCACCTTTTCGTGTCTATACCCATTAAATTCACATGCCCTGAAACAACCAGTACGTCCAGAAGACATACTTCCACTGTTGCCCAGACAGGTCTCATGGCCTATCCTCAACTCTCTCCGCAGTGCCGTCGATCTCTTGCCCACTTTTGTCGGCGCTGCTTCTTCTTCTTCCAACAACTCTTTGGAGTGGAAAGGGGCTTGCTTTTACAAGAACACGGCTTGGATGGAGTTTCACAACAAAACTGGCAGCGAATTTGGTGGAGGCACTCTTCATCTTAAGGTTTCAAACTGACCCATTTCATGTTTTTATTTTTCTTTTATTTTTTTATTTTTTATTATAGTGTTTGATACTTTGAAATCCGGAGTATTGGGTATGTGGGTGTTGTTGAACTTTGATGCTCACAATTCAAAGCATTTGGCTGTAATTTCCGTGGGTGGTTGTTATTCATATTACAAATTGAGGGTATATTAACTTGCTTTCTTTGGTTGTAATTTGATTTTGTTCAATTTTTTTTGGTGTGTTGGGAGTTATATTCATTGAATGATACTGGCTAAATTTGATCTTTGAGGGTTTCATTTGATGTGGTTTTTTAAAATATTATCTAATTTGGGATTTATTTCGGCTTAGTTAAAATATTAGTTGATTTTTTGATACATTAGATATCTTGGTTTTGGTATTATTGAATGTTACTGGTTGAATTTGAGCTCTTGGGTATTTTTTGGGTTTGCAGTTGGGAAAATATAAAAGCTGGACCGAAATTTCCTTTTCCTTAGTTGATTTTGTGACAGTTTGGAGTATTGGATATGGGGGAACTGGTTCTCTCGACTTTTTCTTTTTAAACTTTGATGCCAGTGTCAATTTTGTCGCTCAAGTTGTTGGTTTTGAGGATTTGCTTTCCGTAGTACATCCGAGGGTGCTGGTGAGAATCATGCCTAATTTGGATTACATATAATTTTGAATTATTAGGTTATCTATGTGGTTGGTGTTATTGAAGGTTTGCTTCTGTTTTTGGAGCCTTTTTGGCTCTCCTTTTGGTAGGTTTTCCTTTATCGGTTGCTCAAGGGTGTGTGATAAGCAAGAACATATATGACTCATATTTTGTTCAGTTGACCTTAGGTTACTGGTTATGTTGAAATGTTGAGAATTGGGTATCTAGCTGTATGAATTCTTAAGTTTTACTTGCTGAAGTTGAATTTTTATTGTGGGTTTTATTTGAATGACATTGTGGAGGTTTTGGTTATTTGTTTAGGGTTTCGCTTCTTCTTCATTTATATTTTTGTTCTTATTTCGCTTGCATGGGGGATCTAATTTTTTTCTGCTTGTCATATAAACTCGTTAGCTTAGCCTTTTGGTATTTCAATCATTTAGTTGCGGCGAAGTGCAGTTTAGTCTTTTCAAAACATTCGAGATCATTCATAACAAATTTAGCTTTTGGCAACACCTGTAACTTCTTTTTCTGCATACTACAATTATGGTGTTTGTAACATTTGTATTTTCTTACATGGCCTATAAAAGATTGAATTATTTAAGTTTTTCAAGATGTGTTATAACTCAATTAATGTATCTCCTTTCTTCTTCAGGTTGACAAAGCCCATAGTTGGACATGTATGGATCTTTATGTGTTTGCAACTCCATACCGTGTAACATGGGACTACTATTTTCTATCGCGTGAGCATACCCTTGAATTTAAGGAATGGGAAGGGAAAGCAGAATTTGAATATGTAAGTTGCCACTCTCTGATACATGTTACTCGTTCCATTTGTTAAAACAAGTATTTCTTTGTTAGACGGGATCTTTACTTCCTGTGGGAACAGGTGAAAAATAAAGGGGTCTCAATTTTTCTCATGCAAGCGGGGATGCTGGGAACTCTTGAAGCACTGTGGGATGTCTTCCCCTTATTCACAAACACTGGATGGGGTGAGAACTCAAATATTGGGTTTCTCATGAAGCATATGGGTGCTTCCTTTGAACAACGTCCTCAGCCATGGGTCACAAACATTAGTGTTGATGATATTCACTCTGGGGATTTCCTTGCAATATCGAAAATTCGGGGCAGATGGGGTGGCTTTGAGACTCTGGAGAAGTGGGTGACTGGAGCTTATGCTGGTCATACAGCCGTTTGCTTAAAGGATTCTGAAGGAAATTTATGGATTGGGGAATCTGGACATGAAAATGAGGAGGTAATACCTTAAAAGATGCTAAAGCTTGAAGCATTCTAGTAACTTCAATTGGCACAAATTAAACTTATGTTAGGAGTAACCCTTTCGAATTCATATAGTCTCATGAATTTCTTTTGGTTAAGGAAACAAGAGAATGACTAGCAGCTTCAAGCAACAAGTTCTCAATTGAATTTTCCATTAATTAAGTTTAATGATAAAATATCTGGCCAATGAATCATCTAATTTTGAGCTTAAGTTAAAATATGATTGAAACTGGACCCAAAATGATGCAAAATTTGCTTTGAAATTTCGTTGCTGTTGTAGTTCAAACTGTATGGTAATACCACTGTATGTTACTGTTATATCCTACTTTCAATTTAAATTGAAAAGTATGTGACAATGACTAGCAGCTTCAAGGAACAAGTTCTCAATTGAATGTTCCATAAATTGAACCCTTTTGTGGGCTTGTAAAGTTTAATGATAAAATATCTGGCCAATGAATCATACTAATTTTGAGCTCAAGTTAAAATATGATTCAAACAGGACCCAGAATGATACTAAAATTCCTTCGAACATTCATTGCTGTTGTAGTTCAAATTGTATGGTAATGCTACAGTATATTACTGTTATATCCTACTTTCAATTTAAAATTGAAAAGTATGTTAAATAAAGAGAAAATATACAAAACCTAAGTGACATTACCAAATGGCTAATATATGACTGGCTCACCAGTATAGACCCACTTGACGTTGTTGCATAAGAATTTGGGTTTTAGAATTTAGCCCTTTAGACATCTCCTCTTATCTCAAGCTTGCACTTTATGCTATTAACTTGTAGATTATGTTTTTTCTTTTTTTCTTTTTTTTTGAGTGTGTGTGTTGAATCCGGAGAAGAAGCTGCAATCTCTCTCTCAGGGTTTTGCAATTGATGCTTTTCTGCCAACAAGAACATGATATTATTTTACTGAAATTACGGTAAAATGGTTCAGAGCTTCTTTGTAGGATCTCCTCCTTTTTTGTTTTTTTTTTGGTAAGTGTCTTGTTCCAAATGTTCTGTTAAAGAGGCATAAACATGTGTTCAGGCATATATGGCTGTTTCACCAATTCCTATTTGTGCAGTCTTTGTCTTCTAATTAAGTTTGTAACAAACTCAATTTATTCTTCTTTATTTTTCTGCCACTGTTCTCCCTATTCAGAATTCTTTAGATGTTACTCTTATCATCCTTCCTTTTAGCGTCAGATCTTTAATTACACTTGTCTAGTGAATTTACTTCTTCCTTATTTTGTTCATTAATTCTACTACATCAATTAGTTTTTTTTTTTTTTCACACACACACATATATATAATGATTCTCATCTGGTTTAAAGTTTTCCTAATTGTGTATTACATGTTCAGCACACATTGAGCAACACAATTTCGTTGTCATATGAACAACATTCTTATAACTTTTCCCTTGTCAAACATTACCGAATGGGACTTTATCTTTAATAATATTCTTCCTTAATATTTCAAAAGATAATCGTTCTTTGTCGGATATTGGGTTAAAGTAGCTCCTCTGAGATCCTGGTGCAGTCAGATGAATGAACTTAAGCCATTACAAGATAAAAATTTTTAAGCAGCCTAGGAATTGGTGATTGATTATTTTTTTGAATGAGCATGGCACTGGATTAATGAAATCATGCCGGCATGCTTTCTAAATTATGTATTTCGCATACTTTTTGCAAGATTTGGTTACTAATTCAATAGAAGGCCACTTTTCTGCAAATATGACTTGGAGCTAAAGAAATTTTGGTGGTCTACAATTTTTTATTAGGGACAAGATATTATTGCTGTTTTACCATGGGACGAGTGGTGGGATTTTGAGCTGACTAAAGATGATTCCAATCCGCATATTGCATTGCTTCCTTTGCATCCTGATATTCGGGCCAAATTTAATGAGACTGCTGCTTGGGAGTATGCACGAAGTATGTCAGGGAAGCCGTATGGTTATCATAACATGATATTTAGCTGGATAGACACTATTGATGGGAATTATCCACCACCATTGGATGCTCATCTGGTATTGCATTTATCTATTCTTAATCATTTTTTAGGGCAAGCTTGTGGTATAAGCGGATGCTTTTTTTTTTCCCCCCTTTAGTTATCCACTTTTCATTATTGTGATTCTAGTGTTTGGTTTATGATAATTTGGTGTTTAACAAAATTATGTCACAGTTACTAGAAACTTTATTTCCTTTTGTGTTTGAAGTAAAAGATCAAATTGTGAGGAATTTGTAGGATTTTAATATCCTCTAAAATATAATTTCAGAATATGTGATTACAAGTTTATAAGGAATTTTCTTGAGTTGTTTTCAATGATGTAGCTACCAAGTATATTAGAAATCATCTAAATTGAAATTCTCATCAACTGCAGTGCTAATATTTTTCATGCCTAGTAATTTGTGTCTAGCTTGGATTTATGACATCCTCTAATTTTTCAATATACCTGAGATGTACCTTTATTGAATAACTGTGACATAAACTCCAACATTCGGCTGCATAAATGGGGATCCCAGTTAATGAACAGGGATGCTGTTTCCTCTCCAGTTGAAGTGGGAAGATTAGTATTAGGGCATTGAGCATGTTTAGTGGAGTTATATGGTGGAGATGGATACCTTTTGAACAAGGGTGGTGGAGAGGTAATATGGGAGCATCTTGGGGCTGTTGGCTTTTGAGAGATGTCATGAATTCCTAAGTGATTGGTCTATGGAAGAGAATCACGAGGGCATGGGAGGATCTCTCAAATATTTAAGGCATGTAGTTGGAATGGGCAGAGAATTAGATTCTCTTATGATATGTCATTCAGTGACAAAGCTTCAAGAGTTGGATATAGGACTACAGTTGATAAGGAGGCTTCGGTTGCACATTACTGTAACCTTGTCAGATAGTTGAGTGGTGTTGACCCATCAGATGTTGTAAGTTGTTGCATGGCTAAGATGCGAAGGCTGCAGAGAACTTTTCTGGAAGTGCTCTATGGTATCTCATTGGGTGAGACATGGATGATGATGTGAGATAGACTCATAGAAAGCGTTTAAGGATAAGATATTCTCTGTGGATGACTGTATTAGAAACTATGCAGTTGAAAGTGAAAAACTGACTAGTGATTACTAGTAATTTGAGGTGTAGGGACAAGATTATTTTTAGATTGTTGTTACATGTGTAAGGAGGCAGAAAGAGAGAGAGAGAAAAGAGGAGAGGGGGGGGGGGGGGGGGGGGGGGGGGGGGGGGGTTGGGGTTGTTGTATTAAACACTTACTGTTATGTTGTATGATTGCCTGTGAGTTGTGTAGTGTCCTCTTCAGTATCTTTGAAGTTGTTTTGAGTTATATCAAAGAGTTTTGGCGAGTGAGGAATGCTTGGGATTCATGCCCCTGTGTGTTTGATGTAGTGTCTGTGGGGAGAGATGGATGGATGGATGGTCTTTTGAGGGTGTGGGATTCCCTGTTCATAAATTTAAAAGAGTGATGTTGTGCTTATTTATTTTTCTTTTGGGATTTTTTCCTTTCCTTTTCTTTTTCTTTTTGGTTTAGAGTTTCTTCCTTTCTGGATGGGTTGTACTTTCTGTAGGATATATAGGAGGTCTTTTCTTATATACTTTGTTTTTGCATGGGCTACACCCCCGTATTTTGGAGCCATATAGTGGATATCTTCTTTGCTAATTAGGGGGAAAAAAAAATTTATGGCCTTAACATTTACTTTAATAAGGATTTTGGCTAACCGAACAGGTATTTTGGTGAAGTGGTAGTTACTATTGCTCAGGAGCTTAAATTTTTAATCTGGAGACCAAAAGAGTATACTAAACTGGGTAAATTTTGTTTAAGATATGTAGCCGGTAGAAAATTTATGTGTACCAAGTAACTTTCTAAGGAAACCTCATTAACTTGTTCAATTGAACTAATATCAGGTTTTATGACATGTTTAGCTTCAAACTTGACAGACAGCAAGGTAGATTTTCATTTCATGGTTCCTGCATATATATTAAAAGTTTGATGTTTTGTAATAATTGAAATAAAATCCAGTAAAAGTTTGATGTTTTTGGACCTTTAGAATTTCATCCAAGTACTTACTTGAGAACAACATTTTGCAAATAGTGAGTGCATTATTTTTAAAAATACAGAAATGTTGTCAAAAGAAAATCTATTTTAATTAAATGAAAATATGGTTTGCAATCTGCTATTTGAAGTTTGAAAAAATTGCAAGTCTGTGACTTCTTAATTTCTGAAGTCATTTAATAGGGGAAAAGGATAAGCTTTGGAATACCATAATTAAGATGGACATTCTTAGGTACTTTGAGAAGAAAAAAAATTATGCTCAGTATCTCTCTCTCTCTCTCTATATATATATATATATATATATATAATATGGAGTATATTATACAATATATATTATGCACTGTGAAATTTTCTTTTATTTCCTTTTTTTACTTGGTGATTTTGATTCTTAGTTCTGCCATGGTATAGGTTGCTTCTGTTATGACTGTTTGGAATCAAATACAGCCTGCATATGCTGCCAACATGTGGAATGAAGCCTTGAATAGGCGACTTGGAACTCAGGTATTGTGACAAATACGCTCAATCATCCAGATAACCAAAATCCTATCTGATTTGGTTATTGAAGCATAGATAATGGATGGGATTCTCATTCACAGGAGGATAACAATTTCTTGGTTTGTATCTCTTTCATTGTTGAATGATTTTTTTAAGCATATGTTCTACTATTGGTATAAAAATGAAAAACTTGTCATCTATGGAAAAAATTGGTTACAGTAACTGATAATTGGGCACATAGATATGATGGCTTGATCTGAACCATAGAGCCATCAGATTTTTTAGGGCAAAATAGACTGCCATTGAGTCTGGAATCTGGATAGTCATATTGTAGGGTAACATCATCATTATAGTTTAGTAAGGCCATTGATTGGTGCAATGATAAAAGCTCCTACTGCCTAGCATGAGAATGTGGGTATTAATATCAGAGAAGCCATTTTTTGTGCGATATAATGCTAGAAATTAAATTTGTATTCAGTTCACCTCTTTTAGCACCCAGTCCCCACATTGGTGGGACAAAACTGGTTAATGGATATTTATTAGTCTGAATATTTGTGCGATTTTTGTTCTGTGCAGAACCTGAGTCTTCCTGAAATTCTTGTAGAAACTGAAAAAAGTGGGCCATCTTTCGATGAATTGCTGATGATTCCCGAGCAGGACGATTGGGAGTACAGTGATGGGAAATCAACGTCATGTGTTGCTTTCATACTTGAGATGTATAAGGAAGCAGGATTATTTGATCCATTTGCAAGCTCCATTCAAGTTACTGAGTTTACTGTGAGTTTGTTCAAAATATTCAAAATCCATTAGTTTAAAATAACTGAAGTCAATTATGCATGCTCAAATAGTCAGGTGGTGATAGTTATGTGATTGTAGTAACTTGAGAATATCTTCTGATTGCGGTGGTAAGAATTAGATGATCTCCAACTGCACCCTCACAAGTTCCCCTCAGTTTTACTCAACTATTAATGATTATTTCTTACCTGACGAAACTCTTATTCTCTGCATGCTTACTGCTTTATTCTTATTTACTCGTGAGAAAATGATGAAATTTAAGTTAAAAAGGAATAAACAAACAAACTTGAGCTGTTAAAGCCAATGTGAATGCTCAATTGAAAGAAATTCCCGAGTGATTAGGAAGTAAAAACCAACGTTAGAAGTTTTAAATATTAAATCTGTATTAATCAATCTTGTTTCCTAACATGCAGATAAAGGACGCATACACACTCCAGTTTTTTGAAAACAATTCAAGCCGCCTGCCAAAGTGGTGCAATGACGGGGACAATGTGGAGCTCCCTTTTTGTCAAATTAAAGGGAAGTATCGAATGGAATTACCGGGATACAATACCATGGATCCGTACCCCCATATGAATGAAAGGTGTCCATCCCTTCCTCCCAAATATTCTAGGACTGTCAACTGCTGAAAAGCATTCTCAGTTGTATCTCCCGCTTGTAGTTGTTATTCGGATGGTTGGTTGGTATAGTATCAGGCATTCGGCTAGTGTATTACTATTTGTTATGATTGTATCGTCTGGTGCAAAGGCATGTTGATTTTGGTCAATATTAGTTGTAAATTTTGGGCGTCACACAATGTTAAACACTATAACTTGACTGTTGTAAAGGAATTGGAAATTGGAATGAATTATATATTTGTTTGTTTCGTAGCATTTGGAATATTGTGATGTGTTGAAATGATCTTAAGTTGGTAGACATGCAGTCACATGCAGTCCCTCCATCTAAATGCACTAGGCAATGTGGGAAATTTCCCTATTTTACAAGCAGTCGCTTCTCATTCATCATTCCAGGCTTCTGGCAAATCTGAAAGAAAATTAATTATATGCCTTCCAATATATTATTGTATAATAGCTATAAATGGAATATTTGGACATTGAAAATTTGGGCAAATTATACAAAACTCTCCTGAATTATTTTCTTAAAAACCAGGAATGAGGAAAAAGAAAGAAAAGAGTAGATGAAATGTGTGAAATGTCAAGAACAACCTCCCCTAAACTGATTTTCAACACACTCGTCTCCGACCACAAAAACAATTTCATGAGCTTGTTCGAAACCACATATAACAGAACTGGAATGCGGAAGAACTTATGTTGCTTCTCTCTCTTTTTATTAGTCTTTTTTTTTTTTTTTTTTAGCTCATACACAGTTTATAATCCACAACATTCTTCAGTCATTTCTTCTGAGTAGCTCTCACAATTTGATCCATGTCACAGTAGTTTCTTTGACATAATTTTGATTGGAAGTCCTTGAGTAGGTACCGGCGTTGGATCCCTACTGAAGAAATTGTCATTGCAGCATAGCTTCCACGAGAATCGGGTGACCAGATAATGGATTGTGACTAGAGTCTCAATCCTTGCAAATTCGTATCCTGGACAAATACGAGGACCCCCTCCAAATGCAACAAAGCAGTAAGGAGGAATGGATGCTTGGTTCTCAAATCGTGCTGGCTTGAACTTTGTTGGTTCTTGAAATATGCTAGTGTCCATGTGAGTCATGTTTGCAGCCCAAAATACCTGGTCATCAATTGGGAAGGGTATCAATTCTATGTTGAAGATGAGTGACTGATCATCAATTAATAAAATAGATTACTAGGTGTAAGATGGGATTCTTACTTGCCATCCTTTAGGAATGAGGTAGCCACCATACTCAATGTCTTTCAGTGTCTTCCTGAAGCCTCCAAAGATGGGAGGAAACATTCTCATGGTCTCCATTGCTACTCTCCATGAGTACTTCATCTTGGAAAGGTCTTCCCATGTTAATAACTCCCCTGGAGACTTGCTTTTTGCTATCTCTTCTTGTTCTTCAATCCAAAATGAACACAACATTGTAGAGAATCGTCATTCCTCTCCACAAAACTACGGAGTATCATGAAATTGGACTATTTGCAGCAGAATATGAACTATCAAAATATGTTGTATTTCAATGAATTCAATGTCATTGCCATATGTCAGACAATATTTTGAATTTTTAAGGGAAGAATATCATACCTTGTAGAACAGCTGCATATACAGTTGAATTGTTAGCTAGAATTTGCACAAAGAAAGTAATCACGATAGATGAAGTGTCATGCCCAGCAACCATGACAAGCATGATATTGTGCACAATCTCATTTTCAGACATTACTTCTTTGTTATCTTCCTTGCGGAGGCTGAGCAAGCAAGTGATGAGATCTTGGTTGGATGAAGTGCCCTTCTGCTCAAGTTCAACCCTTTTATCGCGTATAAGGGCTGTCACCATCTTTTGAACCTTTGCACTCGCCTGGAGGCTGCGGTTATAGCGTGTGAAGGGCAAGTTAACCGGGATTGACCACATTCCTTCTATCATCTCTTGGAAGTATTCAACGAATTGATCTCTCCGTGCTCCATGTTCCAGCCCAAACAGAAGAGAGCAAATTAAGTTGAATGTAAGTGTCTTCATCAGGGGCAGCACCTGCCAGAAAAACCAACTTCTTTTTTAACCCCAAGTTGATTTGTGCATTATTTCTGTTGGAAATTGAATATTTCACATTATAAACCAACTCATGAATATTGTTTACAGGGGTTTTCCATCAGTTTTAAAAGGCCTGAGTATGAGAGAGAAGACACATAAACAAAGATATTGAGCTCATATATGACTTCAAATGTTATGTTTTGGAAGTTCAACGATAACTTCTTAGACTGTTATTTGAGGGCAAATTACTGGGAAAAAAAAGGTTTTTTTTTTAGACTGGGCATTTTCATTTTCGTGAATATAGTTCATAGAATTATATGATATAATTAATTTGTTCATCAAGTAAATATAATGTAACACTAATAATTTGATCGCAGTTTCATTCAACATACCTTGACCTCTTGCTTGCCTTCCCAATGCATCTGAAGGTGTTTCCCGATTTCTTCATCCATCTTCCCAACATATTGCTTTAGACATTCTGGCTTTAAGAATGATACAATAGCGCTTCTAACGCGTTTATGATCTTCACCGCTGAGTTCCAACAGATTTCTTTCGCCCAATATCATCTTAACTGAATGTACCTGTTGGTTACCGATTGTGCTGCTAGTGAATAAAAACTTGTTTGCAGCTTGACCATAGATAAAAACTGTAGGTTTGCCAAAGAGGCTTAGCTTTGAAATTGGACCATACTTTCTTACTCTTTCTTCAAGCCATCTTTCAGCAGTATTGGCTCTCATTGCCCGGAGAAGGCAAAGGCTTTGACCTATGAGGGGAAATCCTAATGATCCTGGTGGGAGCCTCTGTGATGATCTTCTCCTCTTGACTAGGAGAAAGAAGACACAGAGAAGGAATAGAAGAAGGGTGAAAATAGTACTCATGGTCATGGTTGAGATTCTTGAGAGAGGGAGGACGGGAGGGATGTTGTTGATGAACCTGCAACATTTGAGTAATATAAATGAAATTTTGGAGTAGAAAAATGAGTCATCACTTGTCCGTTTCTGGGTGGGAATCTTTCTTAACTTACACAAAAGTATTCCATTTTGACCAGGATTGGTTTTTTCTTTTTCTTTTTTTTATTATGAAAATCCATGAGCTCTCTAAGTTTTCAAATAATTAATCTATACAGCTGGATTGAGTGGCAGGTTGAATTACAAACAAGGAAATCCCAACTTTTGCTTTAGAAAATTTAATAGGCAAGAATTTACATTTTTCGATCATAGGATATTTGGGAAACAAAAAGATGGATTTTGATTATTAACTTTAGATTCAGCTGACAGAGGTGCAAGATCAACACCATGAAAGAATCAAGAAACTATATCAGACAGCACAATGACTTATTTCAACTCAACACCCATATAAAAGCTTTATGCAAGGGATTCTTTTAGCCATCATTGAATGAGTTTGACAGATTGCTGAAATAGAGAGGAATGAGAGAAATATATATATATATATATATATATATAGAGAGAGAGAGAGAGAGTCATACCTGATCAGAGATTGCCGAAATAGAGAACCGGAAGTTCAGCTGGAGGCTGGAGGTTGATCATGATGAGAAAAAGGATGGATTTGTGAAATAACACCTAACGAGGCGTTATGTCAAAGCTGCGGTTTTGAGTTGATAAATTCACCGGTGGATTTGCGGCATTTGCCCGGATTTAAAATCTGTATGCCAAAAAATATCCAAATGAGTTAGAAGGCTTTGGTCCAAGATTTCAAATCCACTGTATCCAAATCCTTAAAGCCAAACTTACCCTAAGTCATAAATCCAATGTAACTTCTATACTATTAATCCCCAGAGATCAATTTTCTGTGCCATCACATACCAAGGAAGAAATTGTGTCATCCCAGAGACGAAAGGATATCTAAATTAAAAAAGAAAAATGAAGGAAAGGATATGAATAATTTGATTGTTCTGATATACAAAATCCAACGGGTTAAGGTATCGAACAAATATAAGATATTGAACAGACAATGAACTCCACTGCAAAAATAGGAACCATAAATGACACAAATGGTGCGTTACTATAGAAGCATTATACATGAATTTGGATATTTTTTCTCTATATGTTGTGGAAGCAAAGGTGTTAATGCAACTCAATAATCTAGATTGATAAATATCTAACATACAAAGAGCACATCCCACAAAAAAAAAATAAAAAAATCAGAAGAACATGAAGAAAGTATTCTTAGTCTTCCAGTTACCTGACCCCAGCAACAATACCAGCTGCCATTATCTTAGAGGTTTGAGTATAGCGTTATCCCATGAACCACGTGAGTGAGGCAGCACAAGCTGCTTGAAGGCACATAGCTCAGTCAAAATAACAGTTTGAGCATACGGAAAATGAGGATTATGATGGACACAGAACTAAGAAGAACGAATATTCACGTGTCTTTACTGGATAGCTTTATAATAATGTTCAAATGAAAAAAAAAAAAAAAATTGCTGACATTAACACAGTTTTCAATATGCTTCTCATTTTGTCTCAGTTTGAGATGATGATAAAATTCATATCTACTGTAGTCACAGAAGACAGGTCACTGCTAAACATCAACTTTTGGTAACATAAGGATCATTACTCTTGCCTCCTTAACTTACTGGGAACGAGATACCTGACATTACAAAAACAAGATGCAAACTACGCCCTGTATCATGCAGAGTCTTCATCTTATCAATCAACCAGATGAGCTCGTCAAGAACCAAGCACTTGAGCTCTCACAATTTGATTGATGTCACAGTTGTTTCTTTTGTCACAATTAGGATTGGAAGTCCTCGAGTAGGTATTGGCATTGGATCCCTACTGAAGAAATTGTCATTGCAGCATAACTTCCACGTGAATCCAGTGACCAAATAATGGATTGCGACTAGAGTCTCAATCCTTGCAAATTCGTATCCTGGACATATACGAGGACCCCCTCCAAATGCAACAAAGCAGTAAGGAGGAATGGATGCTTGGTTCTCAAATCGTGCTGGCTCGAACTTTGTTGGTTCTTGAAATATGCTACTGTCCATGTGAGTCATGTTCGCAACCCAGAATACCTGATCATCAATAAGATGGGAACCAATTCTATGTTATGAGCTACTGATCACCATTTAGAAAATAGACTACAGGTGTAAGATGGGATTCTTACTTGCCATCCTTAAGGAATGAGGTAGCCATCATATTCAATGTCTTTCAGTGTCTTCCTGAAGCCTCCAAAGATAGGAGGAAAAATTCTCATAGTCTCCATGGCTACTCTCCATGTGTACTTCATCTTGGCAAGGTCTTCCCATGTAAGTAACTCCCCTGGGGACTTGCTTTTTGCTATCGCTTCTTGTTCTGCAATCCAAAATGAACACAACATTGTAGAGAATCATCCCATCTCCACAAAACTATCAAGAAGTTGGACCATTTGCAGCAGAATATGTTGTATTGCATTTATTTCAATAAATTCAATGCCATTGCCATATGTTGTTCAAGGACTTGCTGAACGACATTTAGAGAATCAGAAGTAGGCTCCAGAAAATTTGACAAGGAAGCTGCTTAGATTTCAGATAATTAGACAATATTTTTTTTAACAAAATATCTTATCTGGTTTTTGTTTGGTTTTTGTTTTTTAAGGGAAGAATATCATACCTTGTAGAACAGCTGCATATACAGTTGGATCATTAGCTAGAAGTTGCACGAGGAAAGTAATCACAACAGATGAAGTGTCATGCCCGGCAACCATGACAAGCATGACATTGTGCACAATCTCATTTTCAGACATTACTTCTTCATTATCTTCCCCGCGGAGGCTGAGCAAGCAAGTGATGAGATCTTGGTTGGACGAAGCACCCTTCTGCTCAAGTTCAACCCTCTTATCGCGTATAAGGTCTTTCACCATCTTTTGGACCTTTGCACTCGCCTGAAGGCTGCGGTTGTAGCGTGTGAAGGGCAAGTTAACTGGGATTGACCACATTCCCTCTGTCATCTCTTGGAAGTATTCAACGAGTTGATCTCTCTCTGCTCCATGTTTCAGCCCAAATAGAAGAGAGCAAATTAAGTTGAATGTAAGTGTCTTCATCAGTGGCAGCACCTACCAGAAATACCAACAACTTTTTTAACCCCTAGCTGATTTGTGCATTATTTCAGTTGGAAATTGAATATTTCACTTCATAAATCAACTCATGAATATAATTTACAGAGGTTTTCCATCAGTTTTAAAAGGACTGAGTATGAGAGGCAAGACACACAAGCAAAGGCAGTTGTATAAAATGTTTTGGAAGTTCAAATATATCTTCTTAGACAGTTGAGGGAAAATTACCAGTAAAAAGGCAGTTGTTTAGGTTCTCATCCATATAATCTAATGGACATTTTCATTTTCGTTATTATAGTTAACAGAATTATATGATATAATTACTTCATTCATCAAGTAAGTATAGAGAATGCAACTGTAATAATAGATTATTATATATTGTATAATTTAATTGGGTAAAACTTGCAGGTTTATTCAACATACCTTGACCTCTTGCTTGCCTTTCCAATGCATCTCAAGGTGCTTCCTTATTTCTGCATCCATCTTCCCAACATACTGCTTTAGACATTCTGGCTTCAAGAACGATACAAGAGCGCCTCTAACGCGTTTATGATCTTCACCACTGAGTTCCAACAGATTTCTATTGCCCAGTATCATCTTAACTGAATGTGTCTGTTGGTTGCCGATTATGCTGCTATCACTAGTGAATACGAACTTGTTTGCAGCCTGACCATAGATAAAAACTGTAGGTTTGCCAAAGAGGCTTAGCTTTGAAATTGGACCATACTTTCTTACTCTTTCTTCAAGCCATCTTTCAGCAGTATTGGCTCTCATTGCCCGGAGAAGGCTGAGGCTTTGGCCTATGAGGGGTACTCCTAATGACCCTGGTGGGAGCCTCTGTGATGATGTTCTCCTCTTGACTAGAAGAAAGAAGACAGAGAGAAGGAATAGGAGAAGGGTGAAAATAGTACTAATGGTCATGATTGAGATTCTTGAGAGAGAGAGAGAGAGAGAGAAAGAGAGAGGGAGGGAGGGGTGCTGAGATGAACCTGCAACAGTTGAGTAATTTAAATGAAACTTTGGAGTACAAAAATGAGTTTCACCTGTTGGTTTCTGGGTGGAATCTTTCCCACGTATTAGATAAATTACACAAAAGTATTCCATTTGATCGGGATTAGTTTTATCTTTTTCCAAAAATCCACCTATATAAGTTTCCAAATAATTATCTATTCAGCTAGCTTGGGTGACAGGTTCTTTGTTTTGTAGCGTATTAGATCATCAATAGAGCCAAATCAATGGTCACATTCTTTTGAGCATTGAAAACTCTGATTCCTAGACAAAAGAAAACAAGATCTATTATAGGAATGACACGAGCTCATGCTGATATTACATTGAAACACAATCATCCCATAGGGGTTGGTTAAAACCATTTTATGTTGGATCCACAAATTTAGTATTTCCAGATCAAAATTTTACTGCATCTGAAACCTGTTATGTTTTTACTTGCACCTCAGAATTTAGTGAACTTGCAACATTTCAACATGCTACTATAAAATGGTTTTATCCACTGTAAGTCTGAGATTTGGGTTTATGTTTTCAATTCTTTCTCTAGAGAGAGAACAAATGGAATCACTCCTCCAAAGAATTGAATCATTTTTTTATCATGAGGGCTGTCCCACCGTGAGCTCGAGTCTTCAGCCACTTGATTGAGAGTGTGTCCTCCCGCATTCTCCACCAAAAGTTGGGGCACAAGCTCACGTGAGAGTGCCCTTGCGATAGCATTTTTTCTATTTATGTTTTAGGGTACTAAACTTTGAAAACAAGCGGTTCTGAAGATAATTAGTCATCCTTAGTTTCTGAGACATGTCTTGGTTTTTCAGTATCTGTTGCATAATATAACTTAATAGAAACTTGTGAACAAGCATTTTGATATGGATACAACCAAAAACTGGAGATGTAAATGACAAATAGATACTTATAGGAAGACTATACCAAAATTAGGCAACTTAAGCAGGACTAGAGGGTGCAGATGTAGAAATTTTTAGATTACCTGCTACTGCATCGAGTTTGTTGGCACAGATTTTACAGTTAGGAACAAATTTCAAATTCAGCCAAAAGGAAAGTTAAAGCATCAATGAGATGCCACTTGTGTACAAACTCCATCAATGTTGAAAAAAATATGAAATAAGATGCAAGTATTTGAAGCCAAGAAAGTGGTCAAATATGAAATGTTGGTATCATTTGTTCTTCTTCTTTCTTTTTTTTTTCTTATTCTGATAACAGTGACACGTGGATTTGCAAAAGTGTAATCTCTTTTTTCTTTTCAATTACTTCAGAAAACTCTACAATTGATACAATAAAAATACGGAGAAGCATTAGGAAAACAAGAGCTCGGTTAGAAACAAGGTCCCTTTTCTTTAAAAAAGTACTATCTTTTTTTAACCGATACACAACCTATCCAGTACATAGCAACAACATACTGAGTGAGAATGTAAAAAGATCCAAAAAAAGCATCGGAATTGTGATGTCTGTATATATAGTATGGAAAGAGTATTAGGCCAAATTTGTCAGTGCATCACTCAGTCTTAGGTGGGATATAGTTTCCGCCCATGGCAATCTTGTACAGATAAAATCCAGTCATCAGACCACTGCAAAAACAAGAAAATGATGTCGAAGAAGTTGAAAAGCTCTACCAAGTACCAGTTGAATTACAAAGAAGGAAATCCCAACCATGTCTTTGGAAAGGTTAACAGACAAGTATTTCCAATTTTTCATAGTAAGAATATAGAATGTGTAGGAAACAAAAAAATGTACTTGAAAAATAACTTTAGATTCAGCTGGCAGTGGATCAAGACCATGAAAGAATCAAGAAACTATATAATCAGCATGATGACTGAATTCAATTCAACATCCATATAAGAGCTTTATGCAAGGGATTTCTTTTAGCTAGAGATTGCAGAAATTGGGAGGAATGAGGTAAATGTATAGAGAGAGAATCATACCAGATGAGAGATTGCAGAAATAGAGGACTGGAAGTTGAGCTGAAGGCTGGAGGTTGATCATGATGAGAGAAGGATGGATTATTGAAATAACATCTAATGCTAGGTTATTTCAAATATGCGTTTTTATGTTAATAAATTCACTCGTGTTTTTGCCTGGATTTAAAATTTGTAAGCCAAAAAATATCCAAAAAAAGTTACCAGACTTTGGGTCCAGATTCAGATACACTCTATCCAAACACTAAAATCAAATGTTCTCTAAGGTCATAAATCAAATTTAACTTCTATATTCTCAACCCCAAGAGATCAATTTTTTGTGCCATCACATACCAAGAAAAAAATTGTGTTGTCCCATAAAATAAAGGATATCTAATGAAAAAGAAGAAAGAAAGAAAAATGATGGTTCTGATTTGCTAAATCCAAGGGGTAAGGAATGGAACAATATAAGATATCAAACAGACAAATGAAACTCCACAGCAAAAGAAGGAACCATAAGTGACACAAAAGGTGCATTGCTTCAGAAGCACAATACATGAATTTGGATAATTTTGTTCCATACATGTGGAAGCAAAGGTGTTTATGCAATACAATACTTTCGATTGATACAAATCTAATATAAAGAGCACAGCCCACCAAAAACATAAAATAATAATAATAATATAAATAATTAATAAATAAACCAGTTACCTGATACCGGCAACAATACCAGCTGGCATTATCTTAGAGGTTTGAGCATAGCGTTGACCCATGACCCATGTAAGTGAGACAGCACAAGCTGTTTGAAGGCACATAGATCAGTCAAAATAACAGTTTGATCATATGGAAAAATGAAGATTATAATGAACACAGAACTAAAAAGAATGAATATTCAGGTTTTTTTACTGGATAGTTTTATAACAAGGTTGACATATACCTAACCTACTTATCAAATGGGGAAAGGAAAAAAAAAAAAAATGCTTACATTAACACAGTCTTGGATATGGTTCTCATTTTAAGTTTCACATTTCAAGATTGAGATGGGTATGATTAATCCATAATTACTTTGGTACCATAAGGATCATTACTCTTCCCTTCTTAACTTGCTCGGAACAATATATTTGACAATACAAAAACAAGATGTAAACTATGCCCTTTATCCTGCAGAGTCTTCAGCTTAGTAATCAACTGGATGAGTTTGCCAAGAACCTAGCACTTTAGACCTTGTGCTGAGCCTTGGAGTTCTTTTATAAACCACAAACAAGCATAACAGAACCTTTACTCCACTCACTAGCTTCTATAGCCCAAATAAAGACTCAGGTTAAGTCCGAAAAATCAACGAATTCCAATAGTAACTCTATCATGAGGCCTCTTACTGGATTGACTGAAAATCCTAAAACTCAAATTATGCGATTAAGTCTGCAAAAGATCAACTAAATTTGATAGGAAAATGATAAGTAGTCTGAAAGTGAGACTCATCCAAATATTTTATATGAGTGAAAGTGGGGGACTACGTCATCCCCACTTACGTAAATACAGTCAAATGTCTCGAAATTGCCGACTTTATATACTTAATTCAACGTAAAGGGTTACAAATTTATAATTCAATGTGTGTGTGCATCTAAATAGGCCATACCCGTCTCAAGAATCAAGGCGATGCAAGAGTTCTTTTGCTTATGAAAGGCTTTGAGACTCAGATAAGCAGCTAGGATGAGCAATAATCCAGTGCCCAGACCTCCAGCCAATGAAGCTGTGCTCCCCTTCTTGGCATACCCAATGATCCCACCACAAACCAGAACCAACCCATACGGGATTGTAAAGCAAAAATCATGCATTTTGATGATCTGGGTCTTACACAATATACTCAATTTTTGGAGGATTTAAGCTTGAGAATTTCAGATCAATACAGAAAAATTTGAGGGTTTTTGTGCATCTTTTTGGTGCGTGACGGTTTCAACTGTAAAAAGGGTGGTGTTGTAATTTCAGGTTTGATCCAAGGCCAACTTTTATACTTATCCTGTTGTTTATGATCAACAGAGTTTGGTTTTTTAATGGGAAGTTTGAACATCAAAGATTTTGACTCCGATTTCAAAATAGTGAAACCATTTTACGTTCAATTCGATTCACGGGTCAAGATGCTGGTTCATTTTCGGATCCGAATCCGAACAGTGGCTGTAAACAATCCGTTTTGTTCCATTCTCAGCCCTCTGCGCAACCAAGACCCCCAAATCTGTCAAACCCTAGAAATGGGGACTCAGGCCGTTTCCAAGAGACCCATGTGCCCATCGTGTTCGAAACCGGCTAGTCTTTGCCTCTGCACTCGGCTCAAAACCCCATGTCTCGAGAATTCAGTGAGGGTTACAATTCTCCAACACAGTCTAGAGAAAAAGCACCCGCTCAATTCTGCAAGAATCGCAACACTAGGGCTCAAGAATCTCGATTTGGTATCGGTCTCGGACGTTCATTTCGAAGCCCGGTTCCTCATTCGCCTGCTCGAACCAGAATGTGAATTGGGTTCGGTTAGTTCGGAAATTGAGAGAACAGATGCTTGTGCAGTTCAGAATCACAAGAGCTTTGATCAAGCTGATGGGTCCAATTCAGAATGCGAAACTATGGTGAATTCAGAACTTGGGCCATTTTCGGACTCTGTAAGTGAGAAAAACACAAACTTTATTGACAACAATGGAGAATGTAGTTTGAGGAGTGATTTGGGTAGTGAGAGAATCGGTCAAGGTCGCTGGGATGGTACAGATTTTGAGCAAAATTCGGATTGGCTGATGAATAATCACACAACTCCAGAGGCAAAACATGAATTAGCTGTCAAGAAAAGTTTTGGTGATATGGTGGAGTGTATGTTATATAGTGACCAAGTTGAAGTTGTTGCTCATGAGAACAAGCCTTTGCAACCATGTTTTGACCCAATTGGAGCAGTCTCAAAAGACATTGATGAACCTGCAATCACTTGTACCGTTGCCAAATATGGTGCCACCAGCTCTTTTACCCATCGATGGTTGCAGATATCCTCTCAGCAAAAACCTAATTTTGATCAGTTTTTGGCCTCTCCTGTAGCGCTTGATGCTTTAGCAAAAGGGTTTGTTGTAACAAAGTTGCAGAGAAAGCAATTGAAGGAGAGTAGTGACTGGGAAGAGTGTGAAGAGTTTGAAATAACAGTTCTTCCTGGATCAGTGCTTCTCTTCCCAAGTGAAAAAGCATTTGGCATTGAGGCTCTAGATTTCGAGGTAAAGAACTTGATTGTATTGGATGGAACATGGGCGAAAGCGACGAGAATGTACAATGAGAACCCTTGGTTGAAGCTCTTGCCACATTTGAAGTTGGATGTAGAGAAAATGAGCTTGTACAGTGAAGTGAGACAACAGCCTCGTGCCGGGTATTTGTCCACCATTGAGAGTACTGTATATGCACTGAAGGCTGTGGGGGACAATCCTGAGGGCTTGGATAATCTCTTGGATGTGTTTGAGTCCATGGTTGGAGATCAAAGGCGATGCAAAGATGAACGGTTGAGCAAAGTCTCTCAAGTGTGAGCCTTCTTCGCTAATAACCTGAGTTCATCAGCACCTTTAATAGCATAGAAGTAACTTTAACAGCATGTTGTAACTTTATAAATATATGTTATAACTGATGCTATAAACTTTGGATTTTTATTATGATCTACTTTGTGGGTTTCTATTATTCCATCAGTACCAGATTTGAAGATAATGCTTCCTGCTTAGGATAAAACCAAAACCAAAACATAGATTGAATTAGTACATGAAAGATATGATAGCATGTGTTCTGAAGATATTCAATTGAAAAGTTTGGGAGTAAAATTCAATGAGAGAGAGAGAGAGAGAGATCTAATGTCTCCTGGAAGATTAGGCCTTCAATTGGCCTAATCTCATATCGTTTGTGAGAGGGAGACACAGCTTGCCTTTACATCTTTCTATGTTGCATCAGTGAAGGAGCTCATCTAATTTCCCTTTCAAATTGTAAGAGAGACAAAAATTAGGTTTTATTATTATTATTATTATTATTATGACAAACAAAAGAGCATAATAGACATTAAATTCAAAATACATGTCACATACATTGCAAATGACAACATGAGAATATATAAGGAGTTTACTGTTAAAAATATAGTTCGAGAGAGTATTTACAAAAATAAAAATAAATAAAAATAAATAAAGTTTAATTTGTTTTAAATATAACTCTAATTTGAATCTAGGGTACAAGTGTGCAACTTGAGCACATTGACAAGTCAACTGGATTTTTACCTCACAATGGATAGAGTATAAGAAATTAGTTGGGGGGTGGGTTTTGTTTAAAAGAGGAAAGGGATTCTAAGGTGGGAGCACTTAAGGTATGGCCCTTTATTATTCGAACAATACAACCACACTTGATTAATTTAGATTAATTAGGTGATATTCAGATTAATCCATATAGTTTGGTTAAGCTTGAGTTAAGTTATAGATGGACATGTGTTATTAATATTTCAAGGAGAAGGGAAATAATAATAATAATAATAATAACTCTAGAAGTTAGGAGATATTCTTTGAATTTGTTGAATTATAATTATATGAAATTTCAATTCTATGCAACGAAGCTAACACATAGAGTGGGAGCGCGAGTGCACAAAGCGATACTCATTTTGAAAAATTACAGAATGTGATTTAGCAACCAAGCATACCCTAGTTGAATTAGGAAGTGATATTAAATTGTTGGATTGAAGTTATGTTTAAGTTATCAATGCTTTTGCCCAAACTCAATGTTAATTGACGTCGGGTTGAATTTCTTTAACCTAATCTCAATCTACAAAATAAATTAAGAGTAATATTTCTAAAAGAACTGTCTCATGAGAAGAGGCATAAACTCTCTTTTTTAAACTTTGAATGGAAGAATGCATTAAATTATGCATGAATTTTACAAATCTCAAAAAATTGTTTCAGTCCAATGATTAAATTAGGAAAAATCATTGCTTTTTTCATGAGAGGCTCTAAGAAAGAGTTTTTAGTGAGGCCAACTAACATTCTTCTTACCCAAACTCATAACGCTGTCGCTGCGGTCGAACCACCTTCCTATCAGGGGTGGGTGCTCAGATACCTAAACTATATTAGGTAGTATTGTATACCCACGTATGCTCACCAATTTTACTTTTTATTTGGATCCGATGCAGGATCCCTTTAACAATTGTCTACTTGTCCGAATCCGTTCAAAAACTGGATTGGGACCATTGGGCTCATACTCAATTCGAGTAGACTCACCCAAATCGCAAATCTGCCCTTCCAATAAAGCCCAGCCCAAATTGATCACAGTCTAGTTATAATCCAACGCCGACTCTCTCTCTCTCTCTCTTATCCCATAAAAAGCCCATACCGCCTCACAAAAATCTCTCTCTATCTTTTAGCGCAACCCTTCTCGTTTTAGGGTTCATATTTTTCTAGGGTTTTTTGAGATCTTCTACCTCTTTGATTATCCGAAGATGATGCAACCAACAGCTGGTGTGGTTCCACCTCCAATGGCTCCGATGCCTGTGGATCAACAACAACATCAGTACCAACAGCCACAGCAGCCTCAGCCGTGGATGATGATGCCACAACATCCTCAACAACCACCACAGCAATATCCCCAACCGGTTTGGGCTCAGCAGCCTCCGCAGGCAGCGATGCCGCCTCAGCAACCTCAGACGCAGCTGTCTCAGCAGTATTCGGCTGCTCAGACAGCTGGCTCCAACGAGATTCGATCGCTTTGGATTGGGGACCTGCTGTACTGGATGGATGAGAACTATCTTTCCACATGTTTCGCTCAAACTGGAGAAGTAACCCGTTTAACTTATATATGTTATTTATGTTCTGACTTTGTTTATATGCTCATTTTTTTGCGTTCTTTGATGATTTCCCCCTGTATTGGTATTGCAATTATATTACCATTCGTGGAGATTATATATCTGTTTTGGTTGCCGGGAAACCCTAGTGATAATATCAAATAATTGTATTTAACAAAAACTACAATTTTTATATAATTAAAGTAAGAGAGATCAAGATCAGTTATTGTAAATTTGGTATTCTTGAACCTAACCGAGGAAGTTATGGCTGATTGATAATCCAAACTAATGGAACACAATTTTACAATCTGTGTGAACAGTACAGGCTGTTTTACTATTTTGTTTATGTTAGTCATCCCAGGAATAAAATTTTTTAATTTGATTTGATATCTGTGTTTACTATATGCGTGAGAGAGCCTGGGTTTCTTTTCCCACCTCTCCCCCTAATTTTTTGTTATTATTTATTTATAAAATAATAATTAAGTTGGTACTTTTTTTTTTGCTTTTTTTTTTTTTTTTTTTTTTTTTTTGTGCTTCATTAGCAGCTTGCTTCAGTCAAAGTTATTCGCAATAAGCAAAGTGGCCAGCCTGAGGGTTATGGCTTCCTTGAATTCAGAACTCGTGCAGCAGCAGAAAACGTTTTACAGACATACAATGGTACAACTATGCCAAATTCTGAACAGAGTTTTAGACTAAACTGGGCTACTCTTGGTGCTGGTGAAAGGCGTGCAGATGACACTCCTGACTACACAATTTTTGTTGGAGATTTGGCTGCTGATGTTACAGATTACATGCTGCAAGAAACATTCAGAGCTCACTATCAATCAGTAAAGGGTGCAAAAGTTGTCACTGATAGAGTCACAGGACGTTCTAAGGGTTATGGATTTGTTAGGTTTGGAGATGAGAATGAACAAATTCGAGCTATGACTGAAATGAATGGAATGGTCTGTTCTACTAGACCTATGCGAATAGGGGCTGCTGCTACTAAGAAACCTATGGTTGGTCAGCATTTTCAGAAAGGTATGTGTTGCGATAATTCATTAAATATTTCTTTAACCTTTATTGTTGCAATGCAAAACAATCTGCCATGGTTAGTATCACTATTCAATTAGATGTTCTTATTCTCAAGCTGCTTCATGCTGGTTGTTATGTATACTCTAATACCATTGCTTGCAATAATTAGTTGTGTGTAATGATACTTTTGATTTGTTATTTTTGTTGGCGGTATAGAACTCGATGTTCTTTCAGTTATGCACTTGAAGATGCCCGGAATTTACAAAGTCATTTCCTTCCAGTACTTACCTTTCTAGACTTGGGCGCATTTAATTATATTAAAACTTGCAAAAACTTATAAAACTCATGTTCTCTCAAAGCAGGACACAGAGTGGCTCTCATTTTGGGGGGCCTGGAACTGATTTCAGCTGAAATGATTCCACTTAATTGCGTGGCCTCATTTTAGGTCAGTTGTTATGTTTATGTCATAAGCTTTTGTCGTTACTTCATTTTCTGTGGCATCTATCATGCTACATTCGCTTGCTTTCCGGTTCCTTATAGTTGAAGTTGCCAGCCAAGTTCAGTTTTTTTGGAAGATTGCATTTCATTTCCCGTTACTTCTTTCTTCTTTTTCGTTTTATGCAAATCCACAAGATTCCTTGTTTTATTTCTTCATGGATCAGTTCCTTTGTACTATATACATATTTTTAGCAACACCCCAAACGCAAGTGTGTTTCAAATTTCCAGCTTTTTATTCCCTTAAAAGGAGGCCTTCTTTTCTGAATGTGTTGACTGAGTGCGTAACAGCAAGACATTACAAATGTCAGTCATTGCTTCAGCTGTTGCTTGTAGCCTTGCAGTTTTCTCTGCCCTTCTTAAAGAAGGTTGAATATATTGCTTATCAACGTTCTTTAAATTTGTTATTTTTCGTTTATCATCTGGTTATATTATCTTATTATCCAGGATGTTTTCCTTTGGGATGAAGGGCTTATAATTATGACATTATGACTACCTAAGCCCATTGTAAGCTTAAACAAATTTCCTATGGATGTAACAATTTCACTTACGAAGTCCATGACCTTGTACTGAAGGCTAAATAATTATCTGAATTTAAGTTATGATACAATGAAGTACGCTTGCTAAACACACGAGAAATAGGTATAAATATGGGATATTGTGTCCTCATGACTGGCTGAACATACACCTAGCTACCATATCCGATATCCATTTTAGGTTAGAATTGTATTTGTAGATTGCATCTCGGCACTTTAAGTTCTACGCGTGTCAATACAAGTTGTAGTATTCAGAATGTAGCTGCTGCATAATTATAATTTTCTTATTTGAGAAATTTGGTGTGTCAAATTCTGAGCATTTTGTTAAATTTGTGTAGTTAATTTAATTCAAAGTTGAATTGGGCAGTGAATGTTAATTTTACAGGAGGCAGACATATTGAATTGGCTGTTTTAAGAAAGTATCAGAGAGACCTGCATATAGTAACTTCTGGATATACAGGATGTTTTTGATTTGTTGAGTATCAATTCTGATGCATTGATTTGCCTTGAAATTTTTTGTTGGTGATTAATCAACTTTCCTCGAGAAGATTTCTTCATTTCCTTTTCTCTGTCTCTTTTGTTTCCTTTCTGGAGTTTACATTGTTGTTGTTACTATATTTATTGCTTTGTTATTTATGCTGTGTTCTGATTATCTGTATGTTCACTAAGTCTGTCAGTATATGTTCATTACCATGGGAAAATACACAGAATTCTGTTGAATGTGTTTTCAAATCGGCTGAAATTTGAGACTAATAATTATATAAATGCTGTCAGAGTCTGTTGCTAATATCTTTATCTTGCTAGAAAATTATCCCAATATGATAGTTTGGTTAGGTAATTGGGCATGTCGCTCCGTTTGGCTAGCTAGTCAGGCATGTTCTTTGTGTTGCTTGTTTCCCCGTAACTGTTCTGATCCAGGATTGTTTCTATGGAACAGTTGGTAACATTATGTACACTAGATAGAACCATTATCTCATCATTGTTTATTCAGTTTCTCTTCACGTATATTTGTCATTTGCAGCTTCCTACCAGAATTCTGAAGGAAACCAGGGCGAGAATGATCCAAACAATACAACAGTGGGTAGATTGTTTTAATGTTGAAAGTATCAGTTGAATAGAATATTGTAGTGACTTTTCACATTCTTGAGTGCAGATATTTGTTGGTGGTTTGGATCCTAATGTTCCGGATGAGCATTTGAAACAAGTGTTTGGCCAATTTGGTGAGCTGGTTCATGTCAAAATACCTGCGGGCAAGCGTTGTGGCTTTGTTCAATTTGTTAACAGGTGAGGAAGTGCATAACTTTCCTTGTAGGTTGTGGGAATTCCTTTTATTTTATTTTATTTTGTACGACTTGCTATATATTCTGTTGCTTGGTTTTATTGTGCTTTAGAGCCTGTGCTGAGCAAGCTTTATCGGTTTTGAATGGTACGCAACTTGGAGGGCAAAATATTAGACTTTCATGGGGGCGTAGTCCTTCAAACAAACAGGTTTTTATGTCTATCACAACAGATTTCAGTGAATTTGTCTTTTGTGCATGTTCTTCTATATCTGACTATTGGACTGGTACAGACTCAGTCGGATCAGACCCAGTGGAATGGTGGGTATTATGGATATGCACAAGGTTACGATGCATATGGTGGATATGCGCCCCCTCCTCAAGACCCTACCATGTACTATGGAGGATATCCTGGCTATACTAATTACCAACAGCCACCGCAGGTAAGAAAAGCTTATGCATTTTTCAGTATTTTATCGCGATGAAATAATAATTTTAGTTGCAAAGAGTGACTATATGCTAGTTATTGTACTTGTCGGATCCAATGGTTATTTCACAAAGGATAATGCATGTACATGAGTTTGCTCAGGAATCAGTCAGTATCTATTCTCATAAACCAGCTTGTCCGAGTTGTAGTGGTTTCCCAAGTCTAATTGGTTGAATGAAAATTGTGATAAGTGACGTTACTTTGATTTAATTATACCAGACTTTAACTGGGTAATTTTCTTCGTCTATATGTGTGGATGATATGTGATACCAGGTGTCTTGACATTGATTTAGGTTTCTCCATATTGTGACCTTATCACATTCTAAGCTATGAGAAAAATGTCGTTGAGTTGTGTCTGAAGTGAATGATTTTGAGGCTGAAACACCAAAATTTGTTAATTCCTGTCTCTATTCATATGTTTCTCCCTATCAATATGGTTGAGTAACGTACTTTCCTATTTACAGTGATTTGTTGCTGTCTGCGAGAAAGTCTGAGAGCTTGTGCATCTGGATTACTCTGATATTGTGCAACTAGGCAGGCAGTTTTGGCGTTCATTGAGCTGGCTGCAATGTGGTGGTTGTTGGCAGTTATGTTACATCAAGGAATATATTTCATGGCTGCATATTACTTCACTTCTATCTCTCTCTCACTATCTCTTTTTTTTTTGGGAAACTTCTGTAGTGTTTGAAGGCTAGGCTCTTTTTTCCTCTGGTTTGTAGTCTTGTGGATCTTGGATTATTATTATTATTATTATTATTATTTAATACTCTTCAGTTAGTAGTACATTTTTTTTCCATGCAGTAGGGGTTGCGGGATGGTTTATTTACTTGTTATATGAGCTAAATAAATAAAAAATGGTTGCAAAAAATAAGTTTGGTACATTCTGAACTAATGGGATTTTCTAGAGAATTGATGGAACTTTTTCCAACCTTTTGATCTCATGTAGTTGGTCCGAACGGAGTAGCTACTAACCCTTAAGCTTGTATAATAATCGGGTTAAGTTGCCAAATGATTTCTTGCCAATTTTCTTTAGGTTAACATCAATTGCAAATTGGGGCTGTTAATTCTTTTTTGTTTGCAAACCGGAGAAAGTGATGGTTCCACTGGAATGTTTTTTTTTAATGTGTGTAGGCTACTATAAGCCTGCTGCAAGGGCCCATTTAAGGCATCAGACTCTTCTGCATTGGCAAAAACTTCATGCGATGTGGTAGTCTTTTTGATGGCTTGGCATGACGTTGAGAAAGTAAGAATAGTAAAAATCTGCATAAAGTATGCAACTTTTCCGTATTTAACCTTCAACATTTTAAACAGTAACACGTTTAATTTATAAATTACCATGCTATACAAACCACTTTTATTCATTTTTCTAATTGGTTTTGTTATATTATTGAAAGAAACACTCTAGGACTTCTACAAACCACTTTTCTTTTCAGCACTCTAGGACTTCAAAGGTGTACCCTTTTTTCATTCAAAGTCGTAAAAGTAGGTACTTGAGTTTTTTCATTCAGTCACAAAAGTGTTTTAAGATTAAATCTTTGAATAAAAATTACTTAATCAGGTATCTTTGAAGTCACTAGAGTGTTTTAATGAATGAAAATGAGAGTTGATTTAATCGAGTTCCCTTTTAAGTTACAAGAACGTTTGATTGACTTTATGAGATCATTGTCACGTAAATCTAGATGTTATGGGAACTACAGATCTGCAATAGTTCATGTGCTAAATTCGTGTCTAATACCCAGCTGAAACTCAGAACAAGTTCCTGATTCACAATGCTCTTCCAGAAAATATACACTTACCGTAAAAATCTCTTCTAATGCCAAACATCCAAAACCACAAAGGAAAGTCCTAATAAGCTCGGATAAATTATAATTAGAGCATACAACAAAGGCAAGTGTTTGGTAAATTTTAACAGAATAAGGATCCCCTTGAGCCTTTCCCTGGATTCAGTTCCCAAACCTTCACAGTTTTTGTCTGACCTAATAGGACTGATCTGGCACAGCTCTGTAGGTAGTATAGTTTGTATAGAAACAATTGTGATGCTATAACATGTTCAAGGCAGGGGATCCAGCAGAATCAGACACTTGATTCCTGATAATGTTTCTTTGACTGGGCGGCTACTTCGTCTCCAAAATCAGTTTCTGGGCTCATTGGTTCCTGAGGCTCAAGGCTAGAAACTGTGGCCTGGTCTTCAACTTGAGACACCGGGTTCCCAGTTGTGATACTTTCCTGCAAAGCCTTGACAAAGCCATTTGATTTCAGCATTCATGTTAAAGTGTCCAAGTGCAAGACAGATTATTTAAGTAAATCCTCTAATCAACTTCATGTTACCTGCAACAGCGCAGTCATTCTGCCAGTTCTGTTCTCCAAAGGTTTAGGAGCAGGAGCAGGTGCAGGTGGGCTACGAACAACAAAATGTATAGTTTGCAGGGGCTCAACTAAGAGAGGCTCATTCATGTTACCAGTGCCTCCTTCGGGGAAAAGACCAGAATCTTTCCCTGAAGATTTACCAGCTGCCATACTGTTCTCAATATGCAATTCTGATGATTGTGAAGAGACTTCAACCCTCCCATGAATTTTGTCCGCCGTTGACAAGCCAGTCAATCTCACCAACTTGGCTTCTTCACCATGCAAGACTTCTGATGCGCCTTGATGAGACGCACCATTTCCATTTTGTACACTTTCTGGTCTTACCTGACGGTTGGTTTGGGTTTGCGTGCATAGCCCTTGACCTGCAACTTTCTGCATCTGCTTGCCTTCTGTCATATGAGTAGCTTGGGATACAACTGGAGGTACGTCGTTGGCAGGTGATGACCCATTTAATAAATCGACTGGATGTAGTTCAACTGGTACCACGGTGCTTCTTAAGCCTACTGGAGGAACATCAGCGTCTGCCACCAGGGGTGCATGTTTTGGTCTTGAAGCCATCAGCTTAGCAGTTTGAGGGGCAAGTTCATGCAGCTGATTTTTATTGGGTGCTCCATTCAGCAGAAGAGCAGTTCCATTTCCAATACGCTGCTTTTTCCTCACTCTGGATCTCGGGTTACGACCATAAGTGTGAGTTTGTTTTTCTGTTGGGAGGTGAATCTCATTTCTTCTGATCATTTGAACATGAGGGGCCACATCGTTTCCTGCTGAAATAGGAGTATAATGTCCTGGCCTGAAAACAATGCCCCTTAGATAGGTACTAGAGTTGCCAATCCTAACAGTGAGCAAATAACCGGCATCAAATACTCCCTCGATAACACCTTTAACTGTCTGGCCCACCGTGCCATCATTTGCATCATCAGTTGAGGTGACTTGACGGGGTTTATTTTCATTCAACCCTTGAAATCTGGGTGGCACATTAGCACTCTCCCCACGATTAAGGCTCTTATCTTTCCTTGGCCGACCCCGTTTTCGCTTCACGGGGATGTTGAGTGGGGCATCAGCATTATTCCCTTCCTTGGCTTGGTTCATTTGCAAGATTTGTCACAAAATCTCTTGCTTTCCTGTGCTATCTTTTATTGTTTATTTTTCCCTGTACATAGAAAGGTGATATTCCTCAAGTCAACGATAGCAAATAGTGCCAAATATCATAGATTCCATTTGAAATCTTAAAATGCAAAGCATTTCACAAGCATTCAGTTTTTGGACATAGGAAATCATAGATTCTCGCCAAACTACTTTGATGCATCTAAGAAAATTTCTGGTTTCAAAAATGCAATTTCAGCCATGAACTACTAATCACTACAAAATATTGCCAATAATAAGATGATGCAATTCAAACTTCTTGTAATTTCTTTGGACATTCTACCACAAGTTTCGACTTTTTCACCCTAGAAAAACTTGTACCTCTAACAATTCACTCAATTCAAAATTGATTTCAGCATATGTGATTATTCTAAAATTATTTCTCCAACTAGCTAAAACAAAAACAAAAAAATGAACCACCAACGCTGACAAACATCTCTCTGTTTTTCCTGCTTACTAAGAACTACTGTGTAAGCAATTCTCATAACTCTTTGGGTATAAACACATTTGTCTATTCTCTATCTCATCTTTCTTTCCATCTATCCAACATCAAATTTGGTATCAGGAACTAAGGCAAGAAGTCCTTACAGAGGTTCGTCAAGAAGAATAGAATGGCCAAATCTGGGTACAACACACAATAGTGAGAAGCAGGATACACATTTGTGCAACATGCACTAGTGCCATAATTCGTGAATGAGGATACATCGAATGTTTACCAAAGAGAGGGTTGCACAGAATGTGAGTTTAGTTGTACATGGTGTGCAGAGGGTGTACATTGGGTAAATATTGACTAAGTCATGCCATAAAGTAGGGTACCCTATGCTTGTCTAAACCAGGTAAGCTAATGATAAAGATACATTGTTGGAATGCAAGTAATGGAAGCGCGTGAACTATCCTCTGCATAAATATTTAGTTATTTATTTTTAAAGCTGGGACGGAGGGTTGAACAGTTATCAGTGACGTGTCACCTTTGCATTCAGCCAGCCAGGCAGGTTTCCATCAAGAGCCATCCGTGCATGTTCAGAACCACGATCTGACTTCGAGATGTTCTTCATAGGGCTGATGGTGTCACCACCTTCTCTGACCTCTATCTTTGAAGGTTGGCACATTCTTAGGGCACTTGCTCCATGTTCTGAGTCGTCTGACTCACTTTCATGCATTCAGGGATGCTAATCCTATTCCAATAACTACTCCGACCAGGGTAGCATGAATGCATGATGGCGCACGTCTTATAAGATTCTTTAGACCAAGCATCATTAAGTTGTGTTTGGTATATTCTTAACATTTAGCCCCTGGCGGAATGCTATGTATGACCCTAATGAAGGACAACATGTCTTCATCTGATGCTTTCCCAAAGCAGCCTATCAAACCGTCTGGAGCACGTGGGGTAGGGTGCAAACAGGAGTATGATACTTTGCCAATCATCCATGTAAAATGTAAGGAAAAAAACAATTGAATGATAGCCATTATTAATATATCCAAGAATTTTCTAAAATCAACTAAATGAAGAGAAATAAAATGCAAAAGATGAAACGAAATTGCACAAAGAGTCTAGCCCAAGTGGTATCTCCTCCTCCTCTCACATGGGAGGTTAAAGGTACTTGCCCTATTGATAATATTGGGTGTACAAGTGTGTGTGTCTTACCTATCTAAAAAGAGGGGGACCTGATAAGTTAATAATATCATAAAATCATGGGGCACTAAATGACTACTAGTATTTAAAAAGCTAACTTAGGCAAGCTTCTTTCATGAAACTCCTAATTCAACACTCAACACATGCCAGACTACAAAAACAACTAGCCCCGATATCACTATGCTAGAAAAACCAAATCAACAGCAGAATGACAAAAACAAAAACAAAACAAAAACAAAAACAAAAACAAAAACAAAAACAAAAACAAAATAAAACAAAAGAAAGTATCTTACCAAAAAAACCAGGCATGTGCAGAAAAAATATACTGAAGAAAGCATAATGATGCATCTCGCTCGTTCCATGTATACATAATCATAGCATTAGATTTAAACTAAGCTTATATGCAGAATATATAAAACATAAATCCAATAGTTTGTTAAATTTATGTTATGGGCCTGTTCTACTTTTCTAGCAAGCTTTGCATAATTGAAAAAATATATATCTATTACACCCAAAAAAGATTTATATATATATATATATATATATATATAATTTCCCTTTTTTAAGAAAAAACTGAACACTATATTACAATATTCCTATAACAACGATTAAAATGGGTAGTGGAAGTACATAAGTGAAACAACAAACAAACAAATCCAAAAATCAATAAGTGAAAAAATTAGACATTGTGCAAAATAAACAGAGATACCAAAAAAAAAACCTTAAATATGCTCTGACGAAAACCCTAAATTTGAACATTAAAACAGCCCGAAAAAATTCTGAGCGATTTGAGTGGGTTCTCTTTACCATTTGCATAACGATTTTATCAAAGAAATCTACAGTGCAATAAGAAGTAGTAAACTTCTAAGGATGGTAAAAAGATCGTACCTTCGAAAATGAAAGAGAAGTGAAAATTGGGATGAAATAACAACCGTAAAACCCTAACCCTAGATTTGTTGCCCGAGGTTTGATATTTTTGGGTAAATCACAGCGCGGAGAGAACGAGGTGGGATGAGGTGACGTGGACCATCATAAATCGTAGTGGGCGGACCAGTGAGACTGGACCAGGTGGGGAGAGAGAGAGAGAGAGTGAAGAGCAATGACACGCGTATATTGACTCCAGAAAGTATATATTGATTTATGCTGTCTTCGGCAGGAAGGAAAGAAGGGTTGTGGATAGAAAATAGGAAAGAATGTTTCCTTTTTAGGTAGGAGTGATATAAAGAAAGAAATGAAAATGTGAAGGATAATTTATTTTTATTTTAAATTACAGATAGTAAAAATAATTAAAATTTTTTATTTGAACATAATAAATTATAAGTTTATTATTTTTTCTTTTATCCTACCGAACAAAAATAAAGAAATACACATTCTCTTTTTTTATGAATGTCTTATTCATTTCCCTTTTCTTTCTTTCATTCATTCAATTTTTTTCTTTATTACTAAAATGACAAATCTAGCCCTAAACTTCCGAATCTATACCTCTCTTTATCTATTCTATATTATTAGATTATAAAAATATAAGGTTTTTTTCTTATTTCAAAACCATTTTTCACTGTTTTTTTTAAATCAAAATATAAAATTTAAAGGGAGTATTTAATGTAAAATTAAAAAAGGTACATCGTACAACAAATGAACTTTCCAATTTTAATATTTAGTTACCTTATCCCTATTATAATTTTAATTGTAGTAATTTCAAGGTCTTTATATATATATATATATAATTTTCACTTATTGTATTAGTTTGTTGGTTTAAAAGTTAATTTTCTATAATTTAAAGAGAATTATGATAAAGAGAAACAAAATTACTCATGAATTTTGTTTTTGGTCCTTCGGAATTTTTTTAATTACAATCATATAAAAAATTTAGTTCACTTGCATCACATGTGCTTTACTAGTATTACTAAATAGCAAATATAGCTCTAAACTTCTATTTGCTCCAGGTTTATACTACTATAGAAATGTAAGGATTTTTTATTGTTTCTAAACATTTTTTATTAAAATATAAATTTTAAAGAAAGTATTTAATAAGGAATTTAAAAGGGTACACAGAACGAACTTTTCAATTTCAATTTTTAAAACTTAAAAATTATAGATTTAGTTACCTTATTAAATTCTCTCAACCATTAATAATTTTAATTGTGGTAGTTTGAACTTTGACGGTCTTTATAAATTGATATATATAATTGTCATTCACTTTTCAATCTTCTCGATAGCTAAATGGATTAGTACTTCTGGTGAATTTTAAAGTGTGAGGTTTGAATTACTTGAAGGAAAAAAAAAAAAAAAAACTATTTAAGCTTTATTGGTATAAAAAAATTAAAAATTAAAAATTCATAATTTAAAAGGAATTTTGGTCTGATTTGCACGGGGTACCTGTGCCGCCCATGTTTAAGTTTCTCTGCCTAAAATTGTTAAGCAAAACCTTGCTCTCGACCCTAAATCCCACCCTTAAATTCACAAATTTTAAAAAATTCAGATATGTAGTTTCCGAATTTAAATTAAATTTATTGTCTAAAGCTTAATCAACCAAAATCTTCAACAAATTAATAACAATGAGCAAAATTAGATTGAAAATTTGAAAATAACATCGATGATTCAAAGATCCAGACTGACAATCACGTTTAATATAGAGAGAAATAAGAGAAAATGGGGGAGGGGACTCACTGTTGAGGGGAGGGATAGACCGAATTAATGTATATCTTTTTTATAAAAATTTTGAAATCAACGTCTCTAAACTTAAAAATACTTAAAAATTTATATCATTAATTTAAAAACAATACAAACCCTGAAGATAATTTGATAAATTTTATACATTTACACCACAATTAATTTGGGACTTTAAAAAACAGAAGAAACAATATTCACACTCTCGTTTGAATAAACCTCTCCTTTCCAAGCTGAACATTTTCAAGGCCCTTGTAGGCCCCACTAAACATTTTTCCTCCCTTTTTTTCTTAAACTATAAAGGGAAAAAAATAGTGTTAAAGCTTCACTGCTTCAATGTCATTAATTATGAGTGAGGACAATAATATCATTTCATTTCAAAACGAAATGTTTTTATCACAAGGAGGTGCCAATATCACATTGTAAAAATTAGGAGTGCACTTCTAGTTCAGCCAAATAGATCAGCTGTAAATGGTGGGAAGTTTTAGTCACTGCAATGGACATAAACTTCTAAAAAGATGTGAAAATAGAAAATAATTTTTAAAATATTATGAACAAGACCGTGCTTTAAAATTTAAACATTTAAACAAGTTTTCAAATTATACTTTCCAGATAAAATAGTTAATTAATTAAATCTTCAAACAGTTCTCATTTTTTTTCTTCTTTTTCATTCTTCCTCGTTCTTTTTTTCTTGGTTCCAAATATCCCCGAAGTCCAGTTCCAACCATTCAAATGAGAAATTTTTTTTTTTTTTTTTTTTTTTTTTTTTTTTTGTGGGAATGTTTTCAAATGAGAAACTTGTCAACACATGACGTAAAGTCACATGGCATAAGTAGTGCGTGACACCATAAATTGGAACAGTTGAACTCTCTGCATAGTGCACAAGACACTGTTTTGGGTTACACAAGAAATGGATCATCTGCATTATATTTCTCTTTTCTTTTCACTTTCATCTTTATTTTATAGTCTTTGTCCTCCGTGCACTTTAGACAGTCATTTAAATTTCTAGAAATGATCTAAGGCTGTGTTTGGCAGCTTGAAATTAGAATTGATGGAATTTTCAAAAAAAAATTAATTCAATTTTCTAAATTGTTTTTCACTGATGGAATTTTCAAAAAAAAAATTAGTTCAATTTTCTAAATTGTTTTTCACTAATTTCAATTCCAAAAGTCTAATTCCATGCCCAGCTAAACATTAGCATAAGTTTTGTACTTCAGTGAAAACCAACATTGATATGAAACTCTTATCTTCACAATTGAAAATTGTGAAAGTACCAGCCATGTGATATACTTGACTCCAATCTATCAGCTTATTTTCTTTCCTGTAACTACCAGTTCCCATGTTCATATACATCTTCAAATTGGAGAAAACCAAAATTGATAAAACATATAGTATATGGTACCCGTCTACTGTTGTTCTTCATTAATTTTTCCGTCTACGCAGATTCAACTGGACTTCAAGAAAATGAAACTTTTGTTGCAAAAATTTTCTTGATCTTTCTTGATATCTATCACATTACCTCTTCCCTATCATTGCTTTAGCCTTGGTTGATTTTGTGAATTCTGTTCTTAAACTATGATGCTCAAAATCATATTAGGCCATCATGCAACGGAGAGTCAAGCCACAATCTCATGCAATTGTATCCTTTTAATTATGCTAAATGATCCTCACATTATATATATATATATATATATATATATAGAGAGAGAGAGAGAGAGAGAGAGAGAGAGAATCATTCAAATGGTAGTACTTCTCTTAAAATGCGCTGCATATGGATTTACTTTTCTACAGAACTGTTTTACAGGGATGCTTTCCATCGAGTGAGACTTCATAATACAATCCCGACATGAATCAAGGTGTAACCGGGAGATCAGTAAAATAACATTTCTTATGTTTGAAAGAATTATGATCACAGTACAAACTAGTACGCAAAACAACATACCCTTATGAAATGCCATGTTGTGTACAGGATACGCTATACACCACGTTTCGCTGTGGAGCTTCTGGCTTTGGTTTTTTTCTTGGTGGTAGTTTTCTTTTTTGATTTCTTAAACCCTCTTCCACTCTCCTGTCAGCAGCAAATAGATATCAGACAGTGAATAATGGTTATTAATGAATCTTGATTCTGACTGGTCAAACAGGTTTAATTCCAGTTCAAGACCTGACAATCATGCTTGTTATGACTCATGAGTATACTACATCAACTAAAAAGATTCTTGTGCAGAGTTAAATGAGATTTCTCATTAAATAAGGTATTCAGTAATTGAAAAAAAACAATAATGGAATCAATTAGTTGCAATTATCCAAAACAAAAAAATTGATACAGTATCAATGAGAATCAAGATCTTTCATTGACAATCTAACACAAATCGGAACACCTTTAAGCAAAAGAGAAAAACATGTTCCAACATTGCATGGATAATAATCAGAGAAGCAAGTGCCAAAAGACGAGAAAAGTACCTTTCTGTAATGTGTGTAAGCAATTCGACCAGTCAACTCCTGCCCTTTTCCAGAGACATAAACCTGAAGAAGTTTACAAACTAATTAGCGTATAAACTGTAGACAGGAGAGTGTATAAGCAATTGAAAATCTTGAACACCAAGAAGGAATTCCTATATATGCTAAAAGGTAAACAGGAACATATAAAGGGAACACTAATTTCTCAAACTATAATCATTGCTGTAAAAGCCATTTAATTAAGTGAATGAACCAATTTGACAGTGGTGTCAAAAAAAAATAATAATAATAATAATAAAAAATCAAAAATCAAAAAAAAAAAAACCAATTTGACAGCTATATAAAGTACATGCCTAAAATTGAAATGGATCTAAAATAGATATGGAAAGGCTGCTATATTAACAACCATTAGTGCATAACGTCATGATCAACATAAAATTTAAATGATCACCATAATTTTTAGAGACCCAAAGAAATAGAAACCAATGGTAATTCTTTTCCAGAAACTTTAGATAACTCATTTTCCTAAAAACATTGGTAGCCACACCACTTTGTCAAAGAGTAAATTTTTTAATGGTACTGATAAATAAACTTATAGACCCCTTATGTGGTTTCTGCATGCATAAAATTTATCACGAAAGTAAACAGACACAGACTAATAATTGTAATTAGTAATTGTAATTTAATGAACAATATTTAGATAGCTGAGCAAGAACTTTTAACTTACTCTCCTTCCATCTGGGGCTGTGTACCAATGACCAGCAGATTGACCAACTGCATGAACTCGTCTTTTACCTGCATCTTTAGGATTTCCAGCACTGCTTTTGGGATTCACCCAGCTTCCAGAACCTTGTGATACCTCTTCAGCATTTGATTTCTTTGAATTCTTTCTGCCCCTTGTGGAGCTTGTCCCGGTTTTAGCTGCTTGCTTTTTAGAACCTTCTTCGTGGCTAAATTGACCCCTGAAATCACAAAAGAGAGTAAACCGTTACAGAAACAAACACAGAAACTTCATAAAAAAATATCCACAATATACAAAATTGAATGCAAAGCATGTTACATGTAATCAATAACTGATGCTCTGAGCTGGTTATTTCCTCTCTCGTTCATAGCACCCAGGGGATAAAAGTTAGGTAGGCGACTGCGAACTAACTTTTGAATCCTCGGTTCGTCATGGAAAAAATAACGATGAGCAGGAGGCACTGGATCACCCAAATTCCAAGGGTGCTCGTCGTTTTTAAGAATATTAGTGCCTTGAGAACAGTCTTTATTTTCACTCAGATTCTGCACTTCATTCTTATTTTTCACCGATCTAAAATATTCTTCGCAAACCTCATCAAGAGTAGGTGTTGGAATGTGGAAATTCTTCTCTGAACAGAAATCTTTCCATAAATCTGGTGCTTGGGACATACTCACTGATGCATTTTTTCTCTTCTGTTCACTCAAAGTTGCATGTTGGCCAGGGTTACATTCTCTCTCCTTTGAAGATAAATCTACTTTAATAGACTCTCCATTTACATCTTCACTGACAGAAGGATCGTCAGAATCAGAATCTAGCAATTGGAACCTTCTAAGGGGACTGACAGTTAACTTTGGAATCATCAACTTCTTGCTGCTTGTCTCAAAACTTGCAGAAGCTGGGACTTCGGATTCTTGTTTCCTTTTTCTTACTTTCCACTGGTTTGCTGATTGTGTCATCAAAACTCCATGTCCATGCAATGGGAATTTTGAACTGCTACATACAGAATGGTGCTGGGTTGATCGAGGTCCATCTGCTGCTAAGATGAAAAAATAAAAATGGGTGAAAAATGATTCTTTACCTACTGAAAAAGGGATGTTTTCTTTAATCCCTCGTTAAACAATACTACACTTTTAATTATAATGGTTATGAGGTCGCCCAAGTAAATAAGACAATCACTAAGAACAGCTACGCTGGAGTTGAAACCTATATTTCAAAAAAGAAAAAAGAAATTAAGCATATCATAGTTCAAAAGAGAAATCTAATGAAAATTAACTAGTTCATTTACTTTCTCAAAAAATATATATATCTATATATATAAATGCATGGGTAGGCAGAAATCTATAATAGCATATTTGTGTCACCAGATTAGTTGCTTGTGGTCCATATTTATGAATTATGGTAGGAGGGTACTACACAAATTTGAAGGAGGCGGGGGAATTCCAAGACACAAGACTAACCCAAGCTGGTAAAAGCCAACCCAATTTGGTTGCTTACAATACCCCCAACACTCTCCACAAGTTTGATCGAAGAGACCATATGTATAACTCATTTCTCAACTAAAGGTTTCTCAGTAAATGACAATAGCCACCAAATTGACCATTTGCCCTTCATTAGAATTCATATTATCCAATAATTACATCATGTATAATCCCAACAGTGCATTATCCCTGATCTCTAACTTTAGTTTCAGGCATAAGATATTTCACCTACTTTAGTACCTGCTAAATAAAACAAATGATTGTAAGGTGCTGAGTGTTTCTGCCAGGGATCTCTAGACAACGAAGGAGTCCATAATGGTTCTCTCATTGGGAAGTTTGAAGCCCTAACTCGTGCTACGACTGTCCACAACACCACCTGAGCAACCCTATTATAGCTTTGAGACGCAACATGATTAGGTGTGTGTTTTAATGCTGTGGACACAATACAAATTCACTTTTCATAAACATCACGTCTTTTGAATCCCTATTGTATTGTAGAGAAGTGTGTCCAAATCAAAGACTAAACTCCACAAATCTCATTGCCTGTATCAGTTGCTGAGGGAAATGAGGAAAACACAAGGTTACAAAAATAAGAGACTACATATTGTTTTTATTCATCCCCAATTAAATGAAATTTGAAAACCAAATTACCTCTCCAACTAGTTCCTAAAAAAATAATTAATCTCGCCATCTCATTTGTTCACAACCAAATAACAGAAAGTGAATACATTTCAAATTGTTCCTTTTTCCCTTCACAACCTCCCCCCAAGTTTCCACTGTAAACAGAGTAGCATCATTTTCCATTTGTTTGCCAGGAAACATGAGAAGGGGAAACAGAAAGTACCAATCAATTTCTAAATCTTATGCCTTTTATTATTGTAGGCTGTAGAAATACGAAAAGCCCATCTCAATCAAGCTAACTACAGTTTAATAAACCTCGAATTACCAATGATACATACTTGGGTACCAAATGAATGAAACCCTAAAATGCGAATTTTCAATTCATTTTCTTTTCCACATTTTCCCAGCAACCAGACGAGCAATAACATTCAAGAACAAAAGAGAAACAGCATTCAAAGATTAGACAAGTCACTAGTCTTACCTTCACGCTTATCCTCCTGCGAAGAGAACTCTTCAATCTCTTCATCGACACTTCGCCACAGCTCCTGCTTCTGGGTGGCCGATGTGGATTCGGTGGTGCGACCTCGCCGGAGACGCTTGAGGGTTTGCGGTGGATCTGGAATTTGTGGGTCCGGACCCATTGTGGGTGATTCAAAATCATCGTCGTCGTCGTTATGAAAGCTTGCATTGGCTGAAGATTGTTGAGCTCGTTTGGAAGAAGGGTCTTCTCTTACAGTGGGTTGGGGCTCCGAATCGAAGTCGAGATCGAGCCCTAGAGAGAACGATGGAGGTTCAAAATCCGCCATATACGAGTAGAGAGAGAGAGAGTGTATGTGTCCGAAGTTGGAGAAAGTCGAGGTATATGTAGAGAAATGTAAATATGGTACTAATTTTCGCTGTTTTGCGCCAAATATAAATTTATGAGAATAACCTATGGCGCGCTTTTGGGGGGAATTCGACGCCTCTCTTGTGGTTTTGAATGGAAAGGATTCCAAGAGAAGAACAAGACCCAAGTGCTAAGTGGTTCTTCAAGTAGAATTTTATTTTGAATTTTATTGGTAAGAAACTCAAGAATTTATTTCTTTATGGAGATTTCAACCATCACATTCTTTCTAGTAAAAGATTGAATGTTCAATTTCCTAATTGGTGTATTATTTACAAGAATAAATAAATTTATGAAAGTCAATAAAATATAATAAATTATTTTGTAAATAGTGAATTGTTAGTGTTTTACTTTTGGACCATGCTACTAAAAGATGACAACTTCAATTGAAGTTTATCAGTTCAATGACATGCATCTGTTTGATGCATACAGTGGGGATCTAAAGTTAAGTCGCATTGTATGTGTCTCACGATGACTGCAGTTGAAGTTCTTGACCTAAAAATTATTAGTATTATTGTTTTTATTTAATCCAAACATGATGGCATCATTCAAAAACTAAAAAGAGCTTAAAACAGTCTCCTTTGTTCTTAATTTTTGTAACAAGTGAATATTGCTTCTCTGTTTTACAAAACAAAGGGGTGAGAGTTGTAAGTCTCACCTTCAACTTTTTTGAGTTTCAGTAAAGTGAGAAAAGCATTCATAATGTTTAAAATTTGGGTAAATAATTTTCTAACATTTATTTTGGATTTTTAAGTTCGTTAAGTTTTTAAAAATTTGACAAATAAAGACTTAATTCGTTTAACATGTTAGAAAATCACATTTAAGTAATCATGTGTAACAAAACGCCCTTATATCATTTTATAAATAACGATATCGTATTTGGTTAGGGTACTTTGATCATTTTACATTTATTTTATTTTTTACCTTTTCTTTTTTTGTTCTTTCAAATACATAAGGGCACTTTAGTCTTTTTATTGCTTTACTGATCACACGCCCTTGTTCGCACCAAAAATAAATATCAGAGACTTTTAAGAACCTATAGAGGGTTATCTACCATATTTGCACACCATATGAGTGTTTATGGTTTGTGACCCTTTTCCTTTTATTATTTACTTTCATTAGAATCGTTTTACAATTACGATAATACTATACAAAACCCACCCCCGCCTCATCCTACCTCACCCAACCCTGTTTTATAAACGGTTTTGGGGTGAGAATGAGGGTAGCTATTCTAAACGGGATAGAGATGGCGTTTCCTGTCCCAGACTACCCCATTGCCATTCCTAATTGACTCGCGCTATTTGGGCATTACTCGTAACTTGTGTGCCAATGTTCGAGTCTCCCTCTTTCTAATTTGTCGTTTCAAAAAAAAAAAAAAAAAAGACTTGTGTTATCCTTTATTACCCAGTGTTTAATATTTTTTATATTTAGTGTGGATCAAACTCTTATTTGTAGAGTATGCCACGTAGGTGACAACAGTGTTTTGTGCAGTGGCGGAGCCAGCATGTGCCCAGAGGGGCCAATTGTCCCCTCTGCCCCATGCTGGGCGGTAGTTTTCCCTGAAATTTATAAAATGGTCCCTCTATCCCTGAATCCATTAGATTTTATTTTATTTTTTACGTATAATTTGCAATTATTTAAAAAAATATCCCTATAAATTTTATAAAGGGTTAATTTCACTAACACCCCCTAAGGTCTGGCTAAATATTACCTTCAAACATCTTTCAAAAAATACTATCACTCACACCCCAAATCACTTTTCCGTCACTAATACTGTTAAAATGGGTGTGGAATGACATTTTTACCCTCAATTTTTAATGTCTTTTATTTTAAAATCTGTAAGGACGAAATTACCCATCACCCTCACCCTCACCCTTACCCCGCACATCCTCTCTTCCAGAGCCGACAACGTCACTCCAACACCCTCTCTTCTAGCGCGGGCCTAATCTACATCTCCACTTGTAAAGTAAAACCATAAAACAACATCCTAAAATATTAGTAATTCAAAAGGGAATATTCCATGTAGTTGCTAGAAGAGAGAGAGACATTAAAGAACAATAATTTTTCAGGGCAAGGAATTGTGGAGAAACTCAAAAAGAACGAATTGGTTTTCCAGACTAACAAAATTGGAGGAATTAAGGTGAATAAATTTTCCTACATTTAATCATTTCCACAAAGTCTAGATAAGTAGAATATAAAAGAAAAAATAATTTCTCCCTTCATCACCAATATTTTTTTATTTTAATTATTCTTATTTTTTCCATAAACAGTTCTTTTGGTTCCTTTTCCTTAGAAGGATTTCGAAAGAAAAGGAAAAATAGAAAAAACATGGAAGGCTTGATTGACATCGCAAATATCATTGTCGCTTTAGTTCGGAAACCACGAACAACCAAGGATTTTAACCGGAAATAATGGAACGTTGGCAGAGGAATGCTTGGCCCGAAAATGGATAGTATTGGCAGCAGAATACTGGAATAAATAGACGCCGGCAGAGGAAAACTTGGCCGAAAACAATGGACATCGCCAACAAGATTCCTTGGGCGAAGACATTGGATTAGGAATTTTATTTTGTAACTGGCACTGTCTGCCGGAGGCCTTAGATGACGCATCGACAATTACGGATAGAATTGTTGGGGAGGATAGGGTTTTAGGAAATTACATTTTGTAACGACTTACTCCACCACATGGTGTGATATTGTCCGCTTTAGGCCTGAGCTCGCACGGTTTTGCTCTTGGGCTTTACCCCAAAAGGCCTCATACCAATTGGAGATGACACACTTACATATAAGCACTTCACCTTTCCTCTACCTAGGCGATGTGGGACTTGTGCACTCGTAACTCGCTAGTGTGGTAGGCTGACAGTGTCTCTCGCACCCGCCTACAGGGTCATCACAATCCACCCCCTTGGAGCCCTGACGTCCACGTCGGCATACTTCCGGCTGGGTCAGGCTCTTATACCATTTGTAATAACCCACTCCACCACATGGTATAATATTGTCCACTTTGGACCTGAACCCGCTCGGTTTTGCTCTTGGGCTTTACCTCAAAAGGCCTCATACCAATTGGAGATGACACACTTATATATAAGCACTTCACCTTTCCCTCTCCCAGGCGATGTGGGACTGTGCACCCGTAGATCGCCAGTGTGGTAGCCTGACAGTATCTCTTACACCCACCCACGGCACACCCGCCTACAGGGTCATCACAATAAAAGTCAGTTGTTTTGATAAGGTGTCAGATTTTAATAAGGGTACTTTTGTCTAATAAAATGTTGGGAGAGGCTTATCATTCCAAGATGTTAGCTTTGTCTGTGTATATTTATATAATATATATAATACAATTGTAAATTTGCAAAGTATTTAGGAATAGTTTAGTCTTTTAATATATTTATTTAGGTTAAAGAGCTCTTTTGACAAGGTCAAAGGGTACTAAAGTCATTTTACATGGTGTCATGTGACGATTGGGGTGTAAGTGAAAAACGGAATAGATATTTCCAGTATGAGTGATAGTAATTTTCAAAAGTTGTTTTAATGTGATATTTGGCCAAACCTAAAAGAGTGTTAGTGAAATTAACTCTTTTATAAATTATCCTTCATAAAATTATCTATTTCTAAAAACATCATTAATTCTTTATTCCCCTTCCTTCTTATTCTTCAAATTTAGTTTTGTCATCTTAAAAAAATTTTGCATTCTATTTCTATAATTAAAATTAATTTTTTCTTTCAAAATTCTCTCAATTTTCTTTTCATTTCATTTTCTTCTTAAAAATTTCCTTTTTCTTCTTAAAAATTTCTTTTTTTTTTTTTTACACTTATGCATAATTTTTGTGCAACAACCTTAAAAAAAAAAAAAATCTCATCTTATTCAATTTTTATTCACTTATTTTAGTGCAATGTTGTTAGGCTATTATATTTTTGACTTATTTAAAAAAAAAAATTATTTTTGTCAATGTTAACATGTCCCCTGACCAAATTCCGGGCTCTGCCGGTGTGTTTAATTATTATTTTTTACTCAGTGTGGATCAAACTCTTATTTGCAGAAAGTACGACATAGGTGATAGGAGTGTTGAAAATGACTCTATAGGACGTTTGAATAATATGTTTAGAGTTCAGTTTCAGAATCTTTTATAGTTGTTTAGAGATAGTATAGATCACGATCTGTCAATCCCCTTCTAATCGAGCTATCTTATGGTAAGTCCTGTGCATTTTGAGGCACATCAACCCCATGCTCTCTCACTTTATAGTCTCTCTCTCTCTCTCTCTCTCTCTATATATATATATATATTACTTTATATAAATAATATATAATTATAAATAACATTAAGACTATAAAAAATTTATATACGTAACTAAATAATATGTAATATTATATAATTATAAATAATATTATTTTATATAACATTAAAAACAAGGACTGCAACTCAAGTAGGCCCAACCCGAAATACCCTGAGCCAAGTTTGAAATTTTTTGAACTTGGAAAATGTTTTTTTAATTTCGATTTGAGCCTGGGCTAGATATTTTGAGCCCAAATTCAATTCGGTCCGGGCTTGGATTAATATGCTGCCAATTAGAGCTCAAAACTATATCTGATAATTAGTATTTATTTTTCTGAAACTCTAGGGAGTTGGATAGAGTGGGTAAGAATTTGTAGAGAGAGAGAGAGAGAGAGAGAGAGATATATATATGTATATATATATAGAGGAGGTGGATGGAAATTTCCCTGACCTTATGAACATTAAACTTGGGTTGCAATTTGCAAACTTGTTTGTGTTTTCAAACTTGGGTTTCTTGGCAAAGGCATATGATTTGGGAAAGCATTATAATGAATTCGGGAAATGACTATGATGGAATTATTATAGGGGTGTTGTGGTTATATATATATATATGGATCAAGTATAAAAAACACTTTTATATTATGTTTATAGTGTATATTGCACCTCTCCGGTACAAAAAAATACTCTTAAAGTATGACATTTGTGCAAATAGGCCCTATTTATAAAAATTAAACTAAAATGCCCTTAGCAACACATTTTATAATATATATATATATATATATATATATATATATAATATTTTGTGAAATAACTAAAATATCTCTCAATTTATTATAAATTTACAAATTATATATATATACACATATATATACACACATATATACACTGACATACATATATAT